CGCTAGAATCACGCGAGCCCATTAGTTTTTTGCTTAATGGTTATTTGAATTTAATTTGGTTGTGCACCCATTTGGCTGTCAAAACGCCCCAATTAATTTTTATAATAATTGGGTTCGTGTGTCGGTATCAAACTCACCACGCGCGGCTTTAGCCATGAAATTGGAATGGACTTTGGAAATTAGCCGGACTTTCTCGATTTTCGTTTGAGCATGGTGCAAATAAATAAGTGTTTTGCGTGGTTGATTTAGAAAATATTCTGAGGATATTAATTTCTTCTCTCGTAGTACCTTTGGTGAAATTTCTTTTTCTAACTATTGGAAATCTCATAATTTGTATTAATTGTGAAATATTTAACATTTAAAAAAAGAAACGATGCTGGGGAAATTTTTTAAAAAGCCTGCAATTAGATATTGAGAGTAAAATAAATTAATATATCCAAGCTGCCCTGCTATTGAGCCCATAATAAGTGTTTCCTGATACAGGATATTTAATTATTTATGGTTTCAAAAGTCAGTTTAACTACATAGTCTTACATCGTTTAATTCATTGTCTTTCTGGATTTTATTTATTTATATAAATTTAATGGAAGATCTAAAATTAATCAAATCAAAATTAATTATTATGTACAAAAGCATCAATCAAATTAGTAGAATCAGTAAGCTTCTTCTCAAACACCAGTTTTCTGACAGTGTATATTAAGCTGTATAATTATGTCAAGAGGAAACTTTGTAATTTTTTTTTTTTATAAAAACGATTACTTTTTACTTTTTAATAAATAGCAAAGGTACAATTGTGGTTTTCTTAAACATCACTTTGAAGTTAAAAAAAAATATTTAAAAAATTAAATAATTAGTATAAATATAACTAAATTTATTGGAAGAACATTTAAAAAAATAAATTATACATATTAAAGTTTTTTTTAAATAATGTTGCTGAAAAAGTTAATTTTTTACACATAATGTTTCCAGTTTTACCGTGCTTTTTATTCATTTTACACATTTACTTGGACGTCCTAACTTTTCTATCATCTCGGCCAAATTAAACAAATTTATTAAATTCTGCCATGAAAAAACTTCAGATATATCAAAAGAAACATAACGTTAGCTCCAGATTAGCTCTCTATAACAAAAGATGAATTCATCAATTTTCTAAACTTTATTTGGTGTTAATTTATTAGAAAACATTGTTCTGTTTTTCTCTCACTTTTAAAATATTTATCTTGCCCGCAGTGGTTTTATAATGCTACCATTGTTCTTCAGGTAGAAACTGGAGTGACCATTAATGGTGCAGAAAAAACGTAAAATCGCGCGAAAGGTGCATCGAACGATGATCTTTGAATCTCTCTCAATTTGGAAACACAATGGGTGGACGAAAAAACGTTTCAAAATATAGTCACGTTCTACAGGACGAAGTGAAAAAATGCATCTCTATTATTTCTTTCACAAAAAGGCCGCGTGAAAGTACTACAATATCACGACGTGCATCATCATTGGCGGGATTTGATGCACCCATTCATTGCGTCGTCTCGCTGCACACAACAATAATAACGAGAGCGAAGTGAATGTCTGCGCGAGAGACGACGCAAAGATTTGTTTGCCAAAATTCCTCGCTGCAACTGGAGCGCGCACTCTCTCGCACCTTGCTTGCCCACTCATTTCCCACACATCTTTTGTCCGCACCATAGAGGAAACTAATAATAGAACATGATAAGGACAGACCCTTTAAACTCTTTTTTTATCATTTGAAACTTGAAACCAGATTTAAACATTAAAGTCCCCAAAAAGAAAGTTCTATAATAAGTTATAAATTAAGAGTGAATTGATAATTTAATTTGCCTTCAAAATGGTATGGAAGTTTATTTTTTCAAAGAGATTGTTCATCTTTAGTCTTTTAGTAAGTTGTTAAAATATAATTCTAATTCTTGAAAATGATGATTCACCAAAAAAATCTAAAATATTAGGATAATCTTGGATGCTCCTTTGAGGCCGCGTGTGCATTCAGTTGCATTTGATCAACAAGGTCACAGCCTGCGGAACTATTGCAGTCCGCCGAATTCTAACTGTTCCTGCTTTGTTTCGTTCGGCCAGAAAGAGTTTCATAATCATAAATTTTACAATAGGTGCACGCAATATTCATCATAGCTCGAATTTTAATTGGGTGTGAGAAAAAAATGTAGATCGTCGATGAATCGCGCAAGGAAAATGAAGAAGAAGTTGATTGATTGATTGAGTGCATCACGCACATGCGGCTGACATGGAACATCAGGTGAATAAAAAATAATGCATTTCTATGTTTGTGCATAAAACTTCTGTATAGGTAACAAAGATATATGTTAATTGAACAAAGTGAACTTTGTTCCAATTTTATTTCATTTCAATACTTGTTATATTATAATTTACATTGTTTTTTATTCAAACTTGAAAGTGCTACGAAAAGATTTCTTGATTTGAAAAAAGTTTCAAATTGTGAATTAATGTTTGTAATTTTCTATAATTATACTAAGACATACGAAATTATCTGCAATTTACTTTACCTAACATGTCTATGTATTAACAATAAGCTCTGTTTTTGATTTTATTAGTTTTCGCATTGAATCTGAGAAATAAAAGTAATTCAAAATGCAGAAACTTTGTTTGCTTGCATATATGTCGATTCTGCACAAATCATTCACTTTTCACGAGTTCGACCTGTGAGTGGCACGGGCCAAAAATCAGTGGCGCGTAAACCAGCGCCCGCGAGTGCAATGTGTGCAGATTTATATTATACGCCTCTCATATAAAAGCGTGTGTGCCGTATTTTATATTTATTGCCTCGAGCTGCGGTCTACTTAAAAACAACAAGCCTCATTTGCATCTCGCTTCTTTCACTGCGCGGAACGTATTTATTTATATAAAATCGGTCTCGACAAGGAGATATCATTTTGCAAACTTATCTTTCTGCTCTTCTGCATCAATAAAAGTTTCACAAATTAATACTCACTCGCATTTTACGATATTGAGGTGTTCGTGCAGTATTAACGCGTAATGAATGTACTTGTTCACTTACTTTTCATGCTTGCGCGCGCTCCGCCGGCAATAATAACGGGCCCAACATATGCATTCATATGTGAAGAGAGTAATTTAATATTGTGCCGAGGAAACTTCCTCGGATATACCTGACACTCTGGGATTTATTTACACCGGATTGAACACAATGTATAATAATATCGATTGTTCTGCTTTTTATTCATACGCCAGACATCGTTCAAAAAAGTTCCTTTGTTATTTTCATTCAGTTAGACTTCTGTCACTTCTGGTGCAAATATCTATACCAATGCTTTTAAATTATATACATAATTCTATAATTGAAAAAATAGCGCAATTTTCAATAGAGAGAAAGAGGGAGGAAGAAATATTTTATATTTACTAAATTATAATTGGAACATTAAAATTGAATGCTTAATGCATAAAACGCAGAAAACTATAATTATACTTTTATTTATTTTTTCTAGACATTAAAATCTAAAATCAATTATTTTATTTTTAAATGTTTTTTATTTATTTATTTTTACCAATATAATTTAATTAAAAATAATATATATCACGATATATCAATATTTTTTATTAATGTAAAAAGATAATAATTTCATTTCATCAGTTGCTTATGAAATTTAAACAAATTTGTACATAAAATTTTATATAATATAATTGAAAAGTCTTTTTTCTACAACGATCATACTTGACGATATTTGACGATTGATGAAAATTAATTTATGAAATGCACTGGGTAATTGAAGTTTTATAAATCAGCGGTTTAAGATTAACTGAGTAGATTGAAAATGTTTTATGGGTTTTATGATTGAATTCAAAACCACATTTTAAAATTATTTATTTAGAAAGTGAAAATCGCAAAAAATCCAATGATTATGCAAACTCTGTTCGTAATCATTTTTTAGCTTACTTCCTGCCGCATCAAATTGTCAACCGTGATCTGGGTCCCTCATCGTTCAACGATTAATAATAAATGCATGCAACGCGCACACCACTACTCATTGTTAATCAAATTGAAACAAACTTTCTACTCCACATTTTGTTACACTAATCAATGATTAATTTCCAATTGCATAAATTACACATTCTCTTTTCCTTTGCACAGAGAGAAACTTATGTACTTAAAACCACCCTGATATATTATATATTAATTAACAGAATCATTAGCATTTATTTTTGTAAAAAGAAAATAATTTTATCTACATGTTGTGGGGAAAAACGACTTCTTTTTATTTATGTTTGCTAATATCGCTTCCTTTTCATAATGTGCTTGCTGGACACATCTCATAAAGAGAAATGGAGATTGGACCAGTTTTGCTTGCGAGAACTGGACGACACGATCAACAGATGTAGGCCATGCACCAAAACATTTTATTCATTCTCTCTCATCCTTTCCGAATCAAGACTGACCAAGCATTAAAGCGACTCTCTTTTTATGTCAATATGACTTATAAAATTTGGGGATTTGAAGTTTCGGGAGGTTTGAGCAAATATTTTTTTTCCGATCAATTTGAAAATTCTGAAAGTATTTTTTAATTAAAAAAATATAGAATTTGTTTTTGAATTGTTTCCTTTATTAATTTACTTCATCAAAGAAATCCAATTTATGCATTTTTTTTAAATGCCTACAAAAATTAAAGATTCAAGGACGCTCGTGATAACCAATTTTAATTCACTTCAAATCATATAGTTATGATTTATAATAAACAGCAAATATTTTAATTTTATATTCATATATTATTCAATTATTATTAACGACTATTAAATTAATTTTGACCCAAATATGCACAGTTCTTTACTTAAGTAATAGTTATGATGTGAAATAAAAAAAAATCAAACTGATTTGATTAGCTAATAATACCGAAAAGAAAAAAAATCAAGTTGAATAATAATGCTAAAAATGGCTTTTATAGCGCCCTCTACCGCTGACGAACCGAACTAACAGAGATGCTCATGTTCTCCTTTTGTTGACAGTAAAGTAAAAAGGGGGTGTGCCGAGCTCTTCAAGCAAGTACGACGTACGAGAGCAGCGAGAACATTAAATTGTGTCAATGCGCGTCCGAACAGAGGTCGAAGTGTCCCGAATTTCAAGTGTCCAAGGGTAACGATGGCTTCCTGCGGACTGCTGCGGCTCGCGCCGTCCTTGCGACCAACCAGCCGGTCCATCAGACCTGCGGTGCCAGCAGGTCGGTGGGTCGTTCGCTGCCTGTCCGGCAAGGCAACCACCAGGGACACCCTCAACGAGTCTTACCAGAAAACTAAAGACTTGTGTCTCTGTATGTAAAAATTAATTTCATAATACGAGTTTCCAATTTTTTTACATAAAAATAAAATTGATACATTTTTATAGTACCGTAAAAATATAATTTTTTTATTTAAATATTTTTTATATTTTTTTTGTTTTTAAAAAATATGTATAAAATTTTTAGTATCTTACCTTGTGAACAAATATTTGGAAATTGGTTGAAAAAAGCGGAAAAAAGATCAATTATTAATTTTATTAATTATTATATAATAAGAAATGAATAGAGAATTTGTCTCAAAGTTTTAGTATGAAAACTGCAAGGTATCTAACTGGTGGTTAGATACCTTTGTATCTTTATATCACAATTTTATTGTAAAATTTCATTAACAGACTTCATTTTAAAGAATTATTAAAAAACACTAATTTCTTCAGCTAAAAAACTGCCTAGAGACGTAAAGCCCGAAGCTGTTTTCGCCTGCAACGAGCTTGACCTCAGTGAGGTCAAGGTCTACGGTTTTGACTATGACTACACTTTAGCCTGTTACAAACCTTCCCTGGACGACCTCCTCTATGATCTAGGAAAGGCAAATCTCATCAATAAATTTAAGGTATCTATAAAGTTACAAAATTTTAAATCAGATAATTAATAAATGAATAATTTAGTATCCGAAAGAGATCTCAAATTTGAAGTACATCCCGAATTTCGCCGTCCGGGGTCTCCATTATGACATAGAAAAGGGACTTCTTCTCAAACTGGACTCGTTTTTACAAATCCAGTTAGGCTCCGTGTACCGCGGGTTGTCTCCGGTCTCGGACGAGGAGGTCCTGGATTTGTACAAGAACAGGATCATCCCAATTGCGTACGTCGAAGGAACAAGAAACTCTACTCAGGTGAAAACAAAAATTTTAAATTGAATTCTTCACTCCTTGATTTTTGACTTTTGCAAAAAAAAAAAAAAAAAAACTGTCCAAATTCACCCTTTTTCTTTATCTCACTTGGAATTGTCTCTCTCACATATACACACACAATTACTGGGAATGGCAGAAAAATCCAAACTCGGTGAGCGAAACTTCAGATTTTCTGCTTTTCAGCATCATGCTTGAATTTCTAGTCAGGAGGATCTTTTTTTATATTTATTTTTATTTGCTGCCAGTTTTTATTCATGTTTATAACATTAGCTGTTGAGAGTTTTATTGCATGTTGCATGTTTTTCCACTCACAATCCTCAGCTTGAGATGCTGGATAACATTTTCAATACGATGGTATGTACCTCAAAAAAAATTCATGTTCTATTTGTTTGTGCACGTCTGGGAAATATTGGTAAAATAAAAAGAATAAAAAATGCAAAATATGGAAACATTTAAGTCTTTTAGAGATTTAATTTAATTTTCCTTGTCATCAAACCATTCTGTAATCTACATTTACTTATTTATTTATTAAAAAAAAAAAAAAAAAAAAAAAAAACATTTACTTATTTATTACCTAGCAACCCATGCGTTTCATTTGTATTTAATTTTTTCTTTCTATTATGGAAATCATTCAAACAATCATTTGGCATTTTATTTTCTATTTCTAGATGTATCTTATCAATACAGAAACTCTGTGTACTTTTAAAGATTGATATTTTATTTAATGTTCTAACTTTCATTTTCAAACATTAATCAGGGCTCGAAGGCAAAAATGGTGCAGCTGGCTGACCTTTTCTCCGTTCCTGAGATGTTGCTTCTCTGCCAGGTGGCTGAATATTTCAAGACCCACAGCATCGACTACCACCCAGAAATACTTTTCCATGACGTTAAGGTAATTTCTGCTAGTAAAAATAATAGAAATAAATGCTTATTTTTCAAATTTCCACAAAAAGACTGCTGTGCAAGGCGCCCACCCTATCATGCACAGGGTTGTGGCTGACAACGTAGCACAGTATTTGGAACACAACCCAAATATTCGGGATTACTTCCAATATCTGGCGGCGCATGACAAGAAGCTCTTCCTCGTCACCAACAGTCCTTTTCATTTTGTGTATGACTTGATAAAATTTAGATGAAATATTTAATTGTTAAAAAAAAATTGATTTAGTGATAAGGGCATGAGTTACATTGTGGGCGCCGACTGGCAGACCTTCTTCGATGTCATCATAGTTCAGGCTCGGAAACCCAAATTTTTCACCGATGAGTCCAGACCGATCCGTTTGTACGATACAGGCAGCAAGACGCAGCTTTGGGACCGAGTGACAAGACTGGAAAAGGGTCAAATTTATTATGAGGTCCGTTAAAAATAAGATTTTTTTTATATAAATTGATTTAAAGATGACCTACTCTTTACATAAAAGTTTTTAATACAAATTTTTGCTGTCATGTTGTAAGGAAAATATTAATTTAATGTATAAACTTTTTGCTTTTGGTACTCCAATTTAATTTATTTTCAGGGCACCATAAAGCAGCTGCAGGACATGACAGGTTGGAATGGGCATCAGGTTTTGTACTTTGGTGACCACCCTTACAGTGACCTGGCAGATGTGACTTTGCAGCACGGATGGCGCACAGGAGCCATAATCAGCGAACTTGCAGTAAAAAATTCTTAATTTTTTTAGAATAAAATAATGACTATTTTTAATTAGCACGAGATCAAAACTTTGAACGACATAAATTTCAAAAGAGATGTCAACTGGCTGCAAATGTTGACGCAGCTTATTGAAGACTGTCAAGACGATAGTGGAGCGAATGTTCAAGAGGTGCTGCAGAAGTGGATGGACGAAAGAGATGATGTTAGGTCAGTCTGTTCGAATCGGAAGTTAATTTCGAAACCAAATTTAATACTGTAGTTTTATATTCTTTTTTTCTGCATTTCATTAAAATTTAATGAACTTTTCAGTCAGAGAACCAAAATGGTGTTCAACCCCCAGTTTGGCAGCGTCTTCCGAACTTTCCAGAATCCCAGCTATTTTTCCCGAAGGCTCTTCCGTTTTGCTGACATTTACACATCCAACATCAGCAACCTGATGCATTACTCTGTATCACACACTTTCTACCCCCGCCGAGGTGTGATGCCCCACGAGTACACCTCATATTTTGTCTAATCAATTTTTAGACTGCTTTTTTGTCATTTTTTTGTGTGGCCATATTTAATACACTTGAGTGTTTCCGTAATTAATCAAAAGCGTCATTTGCGCCCCCAAAGATATCAGTTGTACAAGAATCAATGTGAATCAAGGATAATATATTTGCCTTAGGTAGTACAATAATGTGGTTGTTGCTAGTTTTTAAATTCAAACCAAATCAGTTGCATTTGGTTGTAATCAAAGTCCATTGTAGACAAATTGATTTGTGACATTTTTACTCACAAAAATGGATATTTTGTAGTTCCTTTTAGCTGCTCAGCTGTTCTTATTAACAACGATCTAATTGGATAAAAACATGAGGTGTAATAAAATTATAAATAAAAATATATGTGACAAAATTCAGTATGATTTATGAACATTTATTCTCTGAAACTGCAGCAAAATACATCTATAGGTAATATTAGTTTATTGCTTCTCTTTTTTGGCCTAGGTCAATTCTTTAAAGTGGTTGAATTTATTCAAAATGAACAAGTAAATCATTTGATCCCAATGCAAAGACTCAGTTAATATATTGGCCCGACAAAAATATTACATTGAAAACGATGCGGCTTAAAAATATATTCCACTAGATATTCAATTTCTGCATCAAACTCTGAATTAAAATATTATATTATAATTATACCCTTCTGATAAAATTCCTTTTTTTAAGTATTTAGGACATATACTTTGATTTTGGTCATGCTAGATCTACTGTATAATATAATGTTATATTTAATTTTGCTGCATTAGACAAGAAGTGTCGACGCGAATATGGAATACTATATGTTTTTTCTTTTATATTTTAAAAGCAAAATGCATTTTTAGGTTTTGTTCTGCAAGTGGTGGGTCCATAATCTCCGAATTTAAATCTTGCATATTTCATTAAGTACTTTGTTTTGTCATCAGTCTGTTTTTAGGAATTCCAATTTATCACAAACAAGGTCAAAAAAATTGATTTTAGAATGGGAGCTTTTGCAGTTTTGAATATTTTTTCTTATGAATATACTATTATGGTTAGTTAGTATTACTCGTAGTTTACTGATTCTTTTCATTCATGGTTGCTATCACAATTACAAAATACACACAATCAACAACAAATACTCTCGGCAAAGACGGAATCTATCACAAATCTTCTTAGTATGAAAAGGTTAAAAAGTGTAAAATAAATGTGAGAGGAAATATAAAATTCCACGACATGAGACCGTAAAAAATCACTCTGAAATTTCGTCATCACGCAAATAGATCAAATGATAAGGAAAATGACAAATTTTGGAAAGTGGAGAGAAGCTACAATTTTGTATGCTTCACATTTTCGGTCCAGTAGTTTTGAATTGTCATAGCCTCTAAACTATTTAAAAATGAGTCATTGTCCAGACTGTACATCTCTTCGGAATTGTCCTGAAACAATAAAGAAATTGCAAGATAAAGTACAGTAGGCAGAAAATAAAAATTAATTGCTAAACTAAAATTGTGACGTCTAAACAAGCCCAAACAACATTATTGTTTTTAAATTTTTACACTGGCACTTTCATCGTTTAGTACAAACAATAATAAAAAAAAATACCTTTGAAACCTGTTACACAAGTGTTACCATAAGCCAGAGGTGAGTTCATGTTTTTATTATATAAAATGATTTAAAAGCCTTAAAACTAGCAAATTTAATTCAAGAGTTGAGAGGCGTGTGGAAGCAGCATGTGGTTTGGCGAGATGTCAGCAGAGCTGGTGGTGGCGAGAGTTGTCGAGTGAGGTGAGATAATTAATTCTCGAGATTTATACCTTGAGGTAAGGGGGAGAGACAAAGCCTCTGTTCACAACACCGGTCTGCCTGCACCTGGGGCCTCCACTGCTGCTGCCTCCTTTGCCTGCTTGATTCAATTTTTTGCCTGCACTCACCCTTAATGTATCGTCGATGTAGCTGCTGTAGTCGGGGTTGCTGATTTTGTCATTCAGAGTTTGTGGCTTGTTCTGCAGGCTCCTCTTATACAAAAGGAATCCAGCAGCAGCACCTGCAAAATTTCAACATTTTTGTTTTTTATCTACACTATTTATGTATTTATTATATTTTCAGAAATAAACAAAATTAAAGCATTCTTAATTTTTTTACAGAAATTATTCATTTATTTTTTAAGTTTTTGTCTTTTTAAAATCACAATTATCAAAAAATAAAAGACTGAAGATTCACAAATTATGAAATTATATTAAAAAGTGAAGTTTTGTCGTAATTCACCTTAATTTTGTTACATTTCATTCAAAATGAGTTTAACCTCCAAATCTCTCACCTGTGATGCCAATGATGCCAACGAATCCAATGACAATGGCAATGATGGACGGAGTTCCGAGGCCCTCGTCCGGCTGCATCCTGCCCTTGGTAATGGCCTCGCCCTCCTCTGCCGTTTCCTCCTCTACAAGGGCGTTTGTGATCCTGTCAATTTGCTCTATTTCTCTCTCCTCTTCCTCACTGAAATCAAAATGAATTATAAAAATTCATCTCCTTTTTAGATTTTAAATATCGCACCTATCCAGATCTTCCTGTTTTTTGTCAGGAATCCACGGGGGGATGGGGTGGCTGCCCCCACTGTACACAACGGTCTCTTCTGTGGGCATGGTAGCCTTGACCTCTTCAGTCTGCAAGTGGACCTCTTCTTCTGTGCTGGCTGTGGGAGCAGCTCTCGGTGTGGACTCGTTCGTTTCGGGCGCCGACTTGGCCTCTTCTTCTTCTTCGTGGTCTGGAGCTTCCGAAGCCACCTCTGATGGCAAAACCACTGCAACCTTGTCCTCCATGTGCGGTGTTTCTGACGTGGAAGCTGCAGTCGCCTCTGAGGTAGGGCTCTCTGTGGATAGGACAGCTATTGGGACCACGACGGGCACGTTTCTGCTGTTCTGCATTTCTTCGTTGATGAACGGGTTGCGATTCTTGTACTGGATGGGCATCATGGGCACCAAAGTTGCAGCAGCAGAAGATTCTGAAGTCATACCAGTGAAAAAGTTTTTATAAAAGGTGATCAAAACAAGAAAAGGGTGTTAATAAAATTTAAATAAACAGTATTGCCTACCTTGCAAGTGTTAACAAATAAAAAATCAATTGAGAGAAGCCGTTTTCGATACAAGTAATCCTACTTGTCATGTATAATGGAAAATTTTTAGCCTACTTATTATTATTTTTACTATGGCTTACTTTGTAACAATAATATTTCAACTTCAAAAATTTATTAATTTTATAATTTAAATAAAATATGAAATACAAACGTCAATTTTTTAATTTTTATTTTTAAAGAAATCCTCTAATCTTAATATTATTTATTTATTAATTATAACCTTACTTTAAATTTGCAGGAAAAATGTAAAATATTAATAATAACATTCAAAACCATCACTTTAAAAAGAAAATCTATGGCCAAACTCTTAAATATATGTCTATTTTATTGCTAATAAGAAAAAAATTTAATTTTTTTATCTCAAACAGTATAAATGCTTTTAAAAGTCGAGTAATAGAAATTCAAGTCACTTACCGTCAACAGATTTGCCAAATCTGGTCGGCGCCGGCGGATTCGATTGGTCCGTCATCACGACCACTTGATCGTGAGGGGCCGGGGAGTCGATTTTGAAAGGGTGTTGCGAGGCGGCGACGCTGCTATGGACGAGCGGGACGTACGTGGTCGCAAAGTCGTCAGTGACTTGTTTGACCATCAGGCCGTGCGGCAGGGGGTACAGGTTGACGCCGGCAAAGGTGTCCTCCTCGTCTCCGTAGCCGCCGCCGTAGTCGAGGCCCGGCGCCGTCGCCGGGGGGTGGTCTAAGTCGGACAAAAGGGCCATGTACTGCGCGGAGGGCTCGGACAGTCGATGGCCGGGGTGGACAGGGTGAAGGGCGGACTGTGGCGCGCACCAGGCATGGCTCGCCAGGACAGTCAGCACGGCCACAACTGAAAAATAAATAATAAAAAACTGTAAAAGACGCGCTGGAACGACCTATAGGGTACTTAAATAATAAAAAAAGTAGTAATAAAAAAGGATCTGCAGGGTTACACATCTCTGACATGCTCAACAACTGAAAAATGTCAAAATTGAAAAGAAAACTGGTTTGCAAGTCACAATTTTCTCGGCATACCTTGAAAAATTAAGAATTTCATGAAGTAAAAGACTTTTTGTGTAAGAATATTATTATTCAGAAAACAATTTTTCGGAATCTAATGAAATGAGCAATGTCAAAACAAAATGTTGTGCACCACTGCAATAAAATTTTTCTAGTAACAAATTCATTTGAACGCAAAAGCCTTCAAGGTTCCGCTTGTGGTTTTTGAGTTTCAAGTATTTTAATTACAATTTTCAATTCAGGCAAACAGAATTTATCGTTTTTCTTTTCAAAAAAATAGGGGCAGGAAACCGCAGGTTTCCGATGGAATTTTTGAGCGTTGAATACAAAATGAGCCGAAGTCTAGACGGTTCTCCCTGCCATTTGTACAAATGGATTTATTCGCAACTCACCCCGAATCTGAAGCCCCATGTTCTCCATTCACGCTGCCAACTACTACTACTACCTGTTCACTCGGTCCCCTAGGGTGCCAACCGGAGAAGCCCCTGCCAATCGCCTAATTCGCCCTCCATTTCTTTTTTCCGTCGCCGAGAATGGAAAAATAGCTCCGGTCGACGTCCTTAAGCTTTTCTACTCAGTCAGATTTATTTTTAGAATGTCACAAAAAAATAATAATATTATTTTAAAATATTAAAAAAAAAATGAGAATTATTTCTCAACAGGAAATTAATTATTTAAGTTGAAAAGCACACAATTTAATTTAAGTTTCGCAATGAAAATAAGTCAAAAAGTGGAATTTCCTTTTGCTGTGTTTAATATATTTCACGTCGCAGTTTGTTATTGTCGTCAGATTCAACATCCAACGAGCTAATTACCGCGCTTGGTGAAGTTTGAAGGACATTCGCGGGACAAACACATGTTTGCTTTGCATGTGTCGCTCTGTTAAGAACGTGAGTGAGTGACTTTTGCTCCTCATTTGCACGTGAAGCTCTACAAAAGGAAAGTCACCCTCGGCGTAACTTGAAGTAACGCGGTTACAGCGGAGCATCAATTAGCACCGTATGATAACGTGATTACCATTGTAATCGAGTTGTATTATTGTTATTAAACGTACTTTCACCGCTGGCGTGGAAATCGGACAAGTTTCGAGGCGCCGCAAAATGCAACTCTCGTTATGATTTGATACCCATCACACGGTGCAGCTCATTGTGTGCCACGGAAGCATAATTAATACGCTTGTTTTTAAAAGAGCTAACCATCCGTTTCGGGATAATTTTATTTCAACCAAGGAATAATTAATCAGAATCAATCAGAATGAAATCTGACAGAATAATGACTGAATGAGGAAATTTTGAGAAAGTATGGCAACAAACTGATAATTATTAAGTGTCTTATCTCTTGCACCAATCGGAGATAAATCAAGTAAATAATTGATAATTTTGGAAAAATATACTTCGGCCAAAATTAGCCTGATGGTACGATATTAAATTTTTTGTTTCGCAATCTGTGAAGAAATCCTAAGCAGAATTTCAAAGATTACATAAATAGCAAACCACAAGCGGTAAATAAGTCTCAACGGCAAATTAAATTCCTGAAATTACCCTGGATTTTTTCCTTGAAATAATTTTTTTAATACCAAAACGTGAATAAATCATGCGTCAAATGAACTATTGAAAATATAAAATATATCCATTTGTTCTTACGTATCTATTTCTGATCACAAGGAAATAAAAGAGGTTCTTTGAAACTTACCCGTCACCCAAAACCAGTGCATCCACCAGTGCAGTGTCATGTTCGCATAATCCGCACGGTCGAGTTACGGCTGAGGATTTGCTGAAACAAAAGTAAAATTTTGCGGTCAACTCTCATGTAGGTGGTTTTGCAAACAACTTTTCATGTCGTGTGATTTCATTTTCAACGCAAGGGAAAAGGAATAAAATTTTCAAACTTCAAGCATTTTTGAAAGTTTTAAAGAAGATTTTTCTTGGCTGCTAAATAAAAACGATGTGCAATGCAAAAAAAAATCAATCCTAAATTACCAGCTCACGCATTGGCATTTTTATTGCCAGCTCGTTTGTTTATGATCAAGTCAAATAAATGTTAAGCTCTGTGATCGAATGAAAGTATAATAATTCTTGAGAAAAGGAGCTAGGAAGTATTTTGGATCTTTCTTTTCCCAAGCATTAGTCACGACTTTTTAGTCTGTCTTTTTCCTGCTGCGACAGTGTTCTCTGTTGCAGCAGCTAATTCACTTTGTTTGCTGATAAATATTCGCACGCAGTGACGTAATCTAGTTAATTGCCAACAAAAATGGGAACAGGCACGAGGTTTTAATAAAAGAAAGAGAACAAATTAGGCAAAATGGAGCAGTGAGAGTTTGCGGCTTTATTTCCGCGTACTTCGCTCGATTGTTTTTTAATTAATAAAAAAAGGCTTGATTCGCAATGGCGAGGCTCGTCTACCGTGGCGACGGACTTTTCCAAATGATTGTGAGGATTCTTTTCCTTTATGTAACCAAGTGACCGACTGAGAATATAATTAACGAAGCCGTACTGCAATCGGTGACGTCAAAAGTGGCGAAACGAAATAATAAATTTATTATTGTCGTTGCAGAGGCAACTACTTGTGTTTGTATTTATAGGCAGCTCTATTTTAGGCGCGCAATTCCACTTACTTTTACAGGGCACATGTTTAAGGACAGGTGCAGCAGAGAAGAATGAAATCGACCTCCACTCCTTTTAAGTATTACCAGCATGAGTGACGCCGAGCGAAAATTAATGAACTTCATACATACATCGATGGTGCATTCAGGGTTTAGTTCACTCACCCGTTTCGTTCGTTCGCTTCCGGAATGAACGCCGAAAAGAATATTAGTTAGGGTGTAACCCATTGACCAGTGTCGCACGACGACTTCCGCTTTTGGCTATATTAATAAACTGAAAACCTGCATGGCCAGTTGTTTAGCAATAACAAAATTCCAAAATTAGTGTGGTGAAGTACGCAGGTATAATTGTGATTTGTAATTTTTAATAGCTATTTAAAAAGCAATTTAAATTATTTATTTAAAAATAAGATATTTTAAAGAATTTTTCTTTTTTTTTACCTTGTTTAAAAACAATAGATTATTTTAATGCTTAAAATATTAAAAATAAATTATGCCAAAATATTTTATGGATATAATAATGGATGAACATGAAGAAAAATTAAAAAAAAAAAACATTTTATTCATAAATGAATTCTCATTTTATGAAGAAAATTCTCGGATGACCGAGCTTTTTCTTATTTTCATTAAAATTTTCCGATAAATTAAAATGAATATACAGTCAGCTCTAATGAATTAAAATAATAAAAAATTCAATTTTTGTATATTAAAGCAAGATAAGATTGTACACTTAGACTTTTTTTTAGCAAAATTGCTTCTATTTGTGGTGCCTTTTCATCCCAACAACTTGTTTTTTCTCTTTCATTTAAAAATGTGACAAATAAAATAGTAAGCGAATAATTATTGTAATGTAATGCACAAGTAAGAATTTCACCTGCAAATTATAACGGTAGCTGGGTTACCGATTGATTAGCAAGAGCGAATTTGCAAATCAAATGTTTGTTTAGCGCGTATAATTTACGTCTGGCGCGCATGTTGCTGTTAATTCCTATCAGCAAAAGCAATAAGGGCCAAACAAACAACATGCCCACATCGCGCAAATACATTATTTGAGGCAGAATTTTAATGCAGGTGGATTGCGCCGCGTGCTGACCTTGGTGTTCTTCAAAGTCCGCTTGCAGGTGGGCCTTTGAGTGGCTTGATTTACATCGTGGGTTGGGAAAGAAGACATGGAAGAGGATGTTTTGAGCCACTGTGGTTTTACTTGAATTTAATGACAAGGCTAATGACGCTCATAAATGCTGGGAAAATGAAAAAAAAAATTGTAGACAAATATTTAAGTCGGTTTCTTCTATTAAGTGTAGCATGAAAAAATTTATAAAATTTTTATGTTTTCGAAAAAAATTTAATTATTATTGGAAAAGAAATTTCCCCTTGAAAATTTTTATTTTGAAATTGTAAAGGTTGTCGGCCTGATACATAACTGATTGATCGTTCAGCCCTGAACTGGCGCAATAAAGAATACTAATTAGTCCACACCATATAAGTCAAATGTTCTTGGCTCATTCAGCGGTTTCTTGGGCACCGTTCTCACTATAGTGGTGGCCAACATCCAAGATCACGCTGCATTATTCTCATTGAAAGAGACATGAGCTTTGATTTTCATGTCACGGTTGCGAAGCAAACAAAAACAATGACCAAGCACTTGGAACTGGCAATGGCTGGTTCCACATAATTATGATAATTTAGTATACAAATTTTATATGAATGACGTCTGACGAATTATTTATCGCTTCTAAGATTTTTGTTTACAAGTGTAAAAGCAGTATCCACTTTCCATAAAAAGTGATTCGAAAAAAAGATGTTTAAATTTTATTAAATCGCATTAATAAATTTCTTATAATATTTTATCTTTTTTTGCTAGAACTTTTAAGTTCTAAAAATGATTGGTGTAAATGTAAAATTTAACTGATCTTTCTTTTTTGTACTGGCATTCAATGATTCAATCAGTTTTAATCTTCCTATCTAGAGGTTTAATAGATATTAATTAAAAAAATAAATATATTTTATTCTATGATTTTTTCAATGTAATTTCTCTTTTGAAAAATTTAATAATCACGATTTTATGTCTTGAAAGAATTTGCGTAGTAGGAGTGAAATTTTAGTTGGTTGTAATTTAATTAACCTCTGAGGCAAATAAATTGAAAAGAAAGTGGTAATAAATATTCTTCAGCAAGCAAAACATTCTCCGATTTCCGTTTTATCGCATTACACGTGTCTTATCTCTGCACGAAATTGAGAGTGAAATTGCACAACGACCCGACGAACAAGTATAAAAAAATAAATTAGAATCAGACCGGTCGCACTTTTACGCCCTCGGGTCCCGGCATGTTCCACTTTATTTTCTCTAATTTCGCTCGACTTCATTGCAATTTTTATCACTCGTTTTGTCAAAGCACACATTCAGCAAAATGTAATTAGAAAAGTTTTGCCAGCCATCGATTTCGCAGTGGCGCAATTACATGAACGCGTCTGCTGAGTGATGGCAGCTGTGAGCAAAACACTTTTTTCACGCTTTGGTTGCCGAGGAGAAAAGTCGCGAGAGTAGAAAGAGCAGATTCGGCCCTTTCTAAACGCCGGTGTATGTAAAATAATTTCACGAGTGGCTCTCATTGATCTTCGACTTACTCACTTTCAGAGATAAACACATACAAAAAATGCAGGTCACCAGAACACTTCACTTTTGTGTCGCAAGAGAGAGAGAGAGAAATGATAACGATTTCCCTCTCGGCGCCATTTCTCACATTACATTGTTTTCACTGCAGCTGCGAATTAGTGCAATTTTCCCAGCCCGCAATTATCATAATAGACAAACCTTTAGTTAAAAGTGCGAGCGGTTAATTTCTTATGGCGACCTGATATTCCAAGAAAAAATATTGCTTTTTTAATAAACGCCTGTGCGGTTACACTTCTTTTTCTTGGGGTTTTCGTCGGCTTTATCGAGCAGTGGAGGGTGAAATTTGAAAGACTCTAACACACAAAATATAATAAGGAAGCTTGACAATCTGGTTTCTGGGTTGGCGTGTTTGCGTAGGCCGCAGCTCATTATTCATTCACAACTCGGATAATATTGATTTTCTCCATTCGATCACGTGGACTCGTTTCAGGCCACATTATTATACCAAGCTGAATTTTACATCTTTGCATCAACCAATCTTTGTTACAAATAATTCAAATGAAAAAAAAAATGAATCTTTCATGACCTTTAAGTACACTGGGATAAGGATTTATTAAAATAATTGTGTTTTACCAATTTTCAGGCCAAGCAGAAAATATTTAAAAAAAAGTATATTATTCCGTTTGCAGATTGCTATATGTATAATACAATGCTTATAACTTAAGTTACTTTCGAAAAGTGGTTCATTTCGTTGATTGATATTACTAAAAACAATTAATAACATGATATGTAAATTATTGTGTTAATCCTTTAAAATTTTCATCTAATACAATAAAACTTACAAAATTTATTTGGTATAAAATATAGTTGTAAATAATTTATCCTAATGTGAATTTTGAATACATCAAAGGTGAGATATCGATCCAATTAAACCAATTTTAAAATAATCGTAATCTATTTCTATGAGAAATTTTCCTCATACAATAAAAAAATACACAAGAATGGAATATTAACTTAATGATCAAAAATATCATGGAGTTAATTTTTTTTCTTAAGGAAAGCAACAAAAGTTATTTTATCGATTTAACTCTATATAAAGATGTTGTGATATAGTTTCTTGATACAAATTGTATTACATGCATATCATATGATATGTAATGATTAAATGCCAATTATATTCTTATTCCCTCGATCTCTTTCATCGAAAGGATTAGTTGATCGTCAATTTCTAACAGCTTTCATTCCGCAGATTAATCCCAGAGCCACCTTTCTATTCGGCGCGATCTCTCTCCGAAACATTAGAATCGATGCACACCAGCCACAAAACGGCAGCATTTCAGCAAGACGAAATAAACAAATATATATTAATTCTATCTGCGGCAGATGTCGTGCTGCACTTATTTATTTTTTATTTCACTTTAGAAAGGACAAAGAAAGAAACCTGCTGGGCTAGCTGCCGTTTGATATTATTTGAAACAAAGAGAGCCTTGAGCGGCAGGCAAGCCGCTCGCTGCTACAGTGTAATTTTTTCTTGCTGCTCTGCTGACTCCGAATAATGGGGAGTGCACGACACAGAATTTACAAAGCAGCGATGCATTTGCCAATTAAAGCCGAGAGTGATTTCAAACCTGAGCTTATGGAGCTAGGTGGAGTGCCCCTGTTTATATGAGGAGAACAATGATCGGTGCTCACGACAACGCCGCTAAATTAGAGTCGCCAGCAACCGAGGATAAAACTGTATAAACCCTAAGGTGCTGGATTCTTTAAGATATCTTCAATAAAAGTAGACGTCTGTTAAATCGGTAGTCGCAAAAGTCACTTTCTGCTTACGAGAGGCAAGAAAGTGATTCTCTTGCTTCTCCCATTGTCCAGATTTTTTGCTGTCGCAATTTGTATGGGAGGAATTCAGCTTTCCCATCAATAAACTTGAAGGGCTGTTTTTCAATTTAAATATTAATTATTTCATATTGATAATTAAAAACTACAATTATTTGTGTTTATGGTTTCCTAAAAACAATCTGGAAACTGCAGATTTTTTACTTATCCTTATCAGCTATCGTTACTTAAGATTTTTTTTTCGTTAACAGGCATGGATATGAGTGAAGATCTAAAATTAAAAATGTTCTTGAATATATTCCTCGGGATTTTCAAGAAATTCTTCACAATAAACCACAATGCGGTAATTTGAAGGGAAATGTAAAGTTAAATTTAGTCGTTTAGCTTCTAGCAAAATTAAAAATTCTTTGACGCAATACGGATTGACGTCAAGACTGGGATTTTTTTGGTCAAAAATTAAGACAAATTCATGCTAAAATATAAAATTTTCTAGGTAGTTCATGACTCACCATTTCTGTTCTGCTTTCTTATCATAAAAATGAATCGATCCAACTTCTGAAAATAGTTTCCTAGCTGACGTCAACCAAAGCTAATCGAGTTTCAGCCCAAGATAATGATGTTTGGCTGATAACACTCCACTATCACGGCGAAGTTGTCATGTTAATAATTGTACTAAAGGTGTGAGATTTCACCACTTCTGTTAAGCTAAAAAATTGTTTATGCATGCTTTAGAGTACTCATTAATGTGCATTTTAATTTGAGCTTTAAGTGAGCATTATATAGATCCAAATAAAAATTTGACTTGTACCGCGAAATCTTCTAAAAATGAAGAATATTAAAATAAATTGTGCGAACTCTCATATTTTGTGTCATTTTATTTACTAATTCTTTAATTCATATTCCCGAAAAATGTATTTTGACTCATGCAAATAATCAAATTAAAGAAATTACAAGAAAAAATATTTTCGTAGCAGACAAAAATTAAATAAAGTTGAAAAATAGAAATTCAAAATTATTATAAATTTAAAATAAAAAAGAAATAAAAAAAACCTATAGTATATTGTGGAAAAATGTTATTTTTTTTTTTTTTAATAATCATATAATCCATATAATCTTTAATCAATGCGCTATAACACACTTTACAATATACAGAAGTTGTATTTGAAGCTTGAAGAAGCTTGGTTTTTTTATTCCTAATAAAAGTCTTAGGAACTTCATTTAGCTTGGGAGTATGATTTTGGACGACTACCAAGTTGGTGCGAAAAATTTCAAGGTCTCTCTAAATGCGGCTCAAATTAAAATCATTGAAGCTTTCGGAACAAGGCCGATCAAAAGCTCAAATTAGGCGACAAGTGGCTCAGTCAGTCAGATTCACTGGGATTAGGCTATGAAAATTGAGCGAATTTCCGCGCGCTATTTCTTTTGTTTGCAATCGGCACGAGCCGCTGGCGTGTATAATTATTTGCGCAAACCGCGCCAGATTGTATCATAATAATTTTCATTCGCTAATGCAGCGAGTCCGAGTGGCGCGGCAGGTGCAATTCTATCGGCGTGAGAATTGACTCAAGGTTTCTTTTCAACTCCCGCGACATTTTTTATTAATTATTGTTTACAACTGAGCATTTTGTTTTTTAAGTGTAAATTTGGCAAAGAAAGATACAAAAACAATGCAGGTGCCTTCAAACTTTTGAAATTTCACTATTGACGGAAGGACTTCAAGACTAGCGGCGCACTTAATTAGCATATACATATAACTGCGCAGTGAGTGATAAGATTTGTAGGAAGGACATTCCTCTTTTCCACGTAGTTGACCGATAATAGAAAAAAGTATTCTTTTGAGTAACAATTTCTTTCATTTTGTTGAAATTTTCTGATCAAAGTTGAAAGTTGTCCTCAATTGAGTTTTCTAAAAAATTGTTAGATAAAAATCATTTATAAGATTAAATTTTAAAAAGCTGTTATGATATTCTAATTTGTATAGACTTGTAAAATTTAATCAACATTAAACATTATCTTTGCTTCAATCTAAGTTCATCGTTCCTTCCTTCAGCAAATGATGTTTATTGATAAATTAGTATAAATAAATACGACAAGAATATAAAAAAAAAATCCTTTATGATTGTGACAGCCTTATTAATAAAATTGCAGTAAATTATATGTTACTGTGTGCGTGCATAATTTAACAGATTAAAAAATGCCGATAAAAATAAATTATTAAAACTTTTAAATTAATTTAAATAATTTAAATTAAATTTACTAAAGAAAAAAAAAACATCAGGAAAATTTACAGTTAAATTTAAATAATAAATATAATTCGAATAAACGATTAATTTATATAGTTATTAAAAATTAGTTTGTAATTTAAATGTGTTTCTGATTGAGCTCAAAAAAATTAAATATAATTTTTAGTCAGTTTTTTCCTCAGATGATGTAGTAATTATATTGATAAAAATGCTTTTTGCAACATAAATCATCGTGCTTGTAATATCCTCTTACCAAATATTTGCGCAAAGCAGTGGCAGAGGAAGAGCGCTAATCCTTTGAAACACCTGCGCCCATCCGCAAGCACCGCACACAAAAGACACCAAAACAATATCAAGCAGCCAAAAATCTTTAAAGCGCTGAAGAAGGAACTAGGCCTCTTTACAGCTTCCGCCTCTCTTTGATAAAAGGCACTGCTCGTTTTCCATATCAACAAACACGGTTCTAATTAGGGCGGACCGGCCCTGAACAAGGTGTGGGTGGCTCGGCAGGTGAGTCATATAAGGTAAAGGAGCCTGCCTCAGGTTGGCTCTCGCTCGGACCCTCTCTTGAGACAATTTTCTGAGCCGAAGGGACCGATTGGGAGGGCGAAAAGGGTGCAGGTCGAAAGGTACTTACGGGTCAGGCGGGCTCAACCGGCGCCCTCGGACGCAGAGGTGTCCGCGCGGCTGCCAATTCGACGAAATTCGCGTGAAAGTGAGCTGCTCTCAAGCGACACTCTCACTCGTTTTTGCCTTTGCCAGGCTCGGCCTTCAATCTTTCAATACGACGAGCAGCCAGGCCTCGGCAGTGTGCGCGCGCCGAGCGGCCCCCCTCCGAGTCAAATTCACAACTGAAACATTTCAAAATTAAAATAAATCGAGCAAACAATAAATGAAAATGTTTGGATGAATTTATAAAGCCTAATTTTAAATTTAAAAATGGATTTAGCTTGAAATTTCATACAAATTTTACTGCCTTTGACTTCGGTGAGGAGAGCGTCTGCCACTTCCGGTCGGATCATATGATCGACTCCAAACATTGAGGGTGGATCTAGAAGTTCACCAAGATTAGCCGGAATTTTAATTCTCAGCGGCCGTTGGTTGTGATTTACTGTAGGGTCTTAATTTGACCGTAGTTTGCAAACGGGCAGAACGTTTGACGTGTCACCAGTGATCTTCGAGAGTCCGTCAAAATGGTGAGACAAAAGAGAAACTCGCAAAGGTCGTCTTGATGACAAAGGCCGTTCTTTTTTTTTCATTTTGCCAGGACCTGCTTAAAATTCAAAAGTTCGATTCGAAATTTCTGGAACATGTGAAATTAAATTATTTTGTTTGAAATCGAGAAAAAAATGCTTGGTCTTTTAAAAGATTTATTGGTGTTCATACATTCTGATGTATGTATGTATAGGTATGTATGTAGTCCAATAAAAATTACGCCTCTTATGTATTCATACAAAGCAATTCAGTTTGAAGATGATGAAAATGATTTTTTTTCTTCTTTTTTTTAAAAAAACCATAAATATTATTTTTACATTGCTTTTAGAATGATAATAAAATTGAATTATTTTTATTTTAAATATTAAATTAATAATTTTTTTGATATAAATTAATTTTGTTTTTATTAATTTTTACTTATGTTATAGCAAACTAATATTTACATTTTAAACAATCTTTAAAACAAAACAATATTTTTCATATATTTATTTATTTGTCCACACACCATTGAAATTTTAATCAGAATGTAAATTTTCTGTCTCGTCTTCTTCTATGTTCATAATATTTTTAATTATATAACAAGTTAAAAAATACAAAAACTACATGGAAATTTTGTAAACTAATAACTAATACAAATGCCCACTGATCATTTGTTCATTTTGCATGATTCACAGTCTTTTGAGCAAGATGATGAAGACCAGTATGTAGGTTCGTTTCCGAAGGACTTTGGTTATGGTGCTTATGACCAAGATGGAGACGCTAGTGGCGTTCTCTCTGGAGAACAAAAACCCAGAATACTCTTGATGGGTCTCCGAAGGTAAATTTCATCATTTTGAATTAATTCACAAATTGATGTTAAATGAATATATATAGGAGTGGAAAATCTTCAATTCAAAAAGTGGTCTTTCACAAAATGTCTCCAAACGAGACTCTCTTCCTGGAAAGCACAAACAAAATCATCAAGGACGACATTTCCAATTCGTCCTTTGTCCAGTTTCAAATTTGGGACTTCCCAGGTCAAATCGACTTCTTCGATCCGAACTTTGACTCTGACATGATTTTCGGAGGATGTGGTGCTCTTGTCTTTGTCATCGACGCCCAGGTAAATTTTGAAAATGAAGGGAAATTTTCAAATAATTTATTTTATGCAACAGGACGACTACATGGAGGCGTTGAACAAACTGCACCAGACTGTCACCAAAGCCTACAAAGTGAACCCCAGCATCAAATTCGAAGTTTTCATCCACAAAGTGGACGGACTCTCGGACGACTACAAAATGGAAACACAGAGAGACATTCACCAAAGAGCTAACGATGACCTCACTGACTCAGGTTGTTTATAATTAAAAAATTAAAAAAGCGGTCGTAACAAATTTTGATTTTCAGGTTATGATCAGATCCATCTGAGCTTCCACCAAACCTCCATTTACGACCACAGTATATTCGAAGCTTTTAGCAAAGTGGTGCAAAAACTGATTCCTCAGCTCCCTATCCTAGAAAACTTGCTCAACATTTTGATCTCCGTAAGTTTTTATCAAGTTCATTTAAATAAGTTTTTAAATTTTTGTTAACTTTTAGAACTCTGCAATCGAGAAAGCATTTTTGTACGATGTCGTGTCAAAAATCTATATTGCCACCGACTCTTCGCCAGTTGATATGCAGAGCTACGAGCTTTGTTGTGACATGATTGATGTGGTCATTGATGTCTCATGCATATATGGGTGAGCAGGCAGTTTTTTATAATTTGATTTTCTTTATACTACAAAAATATTTTTATAATGTCAGTTCAAAATTAAAGATTTATTTCTCAGTCCTTACTTTGTCTGAATTTTTTAAGGAAATACACAATCTGCAATTTGAACTTCCCAAAACCTCTTGTTTAAATAAAAGGTTCTAACAATTTTTTTGTAATTTTAATTAATCTTATACTTTTGAGTCAAGTTTTTGAGTAATTTTTTTTTTAATTTAATTTTCTTTAAAATTTTATTTTGACCTGTTCAATCCATGTCAATTCAGATTTCAGTGAGATTTTAATTTGTTATTAATTTGGGAACTTTTAAACCTGTATTGCTTTTCTTTATTTAATATATTATTAAATTGTGTTACAGTCTGAAAGAAGATGCTGAAACTGCTGCGTTCGACAACGAAAGTTCCAGTATCATCAAGCTGAACAATGGCACAATTCTTTACTTACGAGAAGTCAACAAGTTTCTTGCCCTGGTCTGCATTCTGCGAGAAGATAATTTTGACAGAAAAGGTTGGCAATGCTCCTAGGTCTTTTCCTATTTGCATATATTTTAATTTTCATCCATTTAACTTTTAATAAATAGTGACCACTGGCCTTTGTATACCGTGGGAACTTGCTTTTCAGCATAAGTTGATATTTGATACACATAATTTAGGGTCCAAATTGTAGGAATGAAATTTGACACCACTAAATTATCACCTTCTTTTCTCAGGCACGATCGACTACAACTTTTTGTGCTTCAAGCAAGCCATCCAGGAGGTTTTTGATGTGCGCAACAAGCAGCTTTCTCTGACTGGCAACAGCACCCACTTGGGCGACCACACAAACGGAGGCGAGGTTGGCGCCGAGCTCGTCAACGGCCAGCAGCACAGTTGAACTGAACCTGCCGAGTGAAATGCGGAATTGTGATCTATCTAGCCCTCTTGTAGATTTCGCCCCACATGCTAGCTGTCAGCTCTTATTTTTATATGAAAAGGTAGGATTTCTTGTATATTTTGTGACATCACCACTCTCGAAACTTGCCCGTCACTTTTCCCTAGATGACAATAATTATTTATTCCAATGTGCTCCAGCAGCTAGATGTTTTATTTTTGACGTTTTATTTATTCAATAATCTTCCCACGCAGACAAAACGAAATCTATATCAAATGAGCTTGCCAGGCGCACTTTGTGAAAGAGAGTGGCAGTGAAAAATATTATTATATTTGTGTTCTCCATTGATACACATTGATATAATATACGTATTTGCGGATCTAATAATTATTGACGATATCTTCTAATTTAGTTATCAATTAGTTCCATACCCTTTTTTATTCATAGCTTGAAAGCAATACTCTAGCTCTTATATTGTCAGGATCACGCCATGCTTTTAATTTACACAAATTTCTTCAATTATTTTATCTGTTTTCAATTACAATTTTGTCAGTGCCATAAGTTTTTTATGACGAATGATTTGCCCAAAAACTTATAATCACATAATTAATATTAAAAAATCATACGATTGTTGTGTTTATGAATTGTACTAAGACCACTACTATTTTTGTTAAATAAAAGCCAGCGTTTATCATCAGATTTAAATATAGCTGCTTTTATTACAATTATATTATACACATTTAAAATTACATATAAATTTCATCACATAAGTTGCAAATTAAGTTTATTGGTGTACCGCAAGGTAATATCTGCCCAAATCGAGATACATCATACGTATCATTAAAAATTATTATCGAAAAACTAAAACATTTTATTGAAAGATCAACGCATATTACTGTCTGCCCTTAAATTGTTTTAGTGAATATACACAATTCTTTAAGAAGAAGCCTTAACCCGCAAAGCTTTAAGGGACTAGCGATTATTCTCATTTTTTTAGCACACTTATTAAGATACAACTCTTCTTAAGGCACCAACTCGTCGTGGTGATAATTTCCTTCGAGGTAGGATACGGGCAGATCCGATTCGGTCACGGGGAATTTGGGGAAAATAAAAGTCTTGCTGAAAGTGAGGGGAAGCTCTTCCTTATTTTCGCTTTGCTTCTCATCGGTGGTTTTCATTATTGGTATGGTGGTCTCTTTGTAAATTCGATGTGGTGCCGGTGAGGATGTGGGGGACTCACTAAGTGAGTAATACTTGCTGTTACCCTTCGCCTTGACCTTGCTCCTGCAACTCCTGTACGCCACGGTGCACCCAACGGCGATCACAATGCAGACGGTCAGGGTCAGCAGGAAGGTCATGATGGACCAAAAGTGTGCTTTTACTACGTTATTTGTTTCCGGCACAAAGAAGGATAGATTAGACAAGTTTTGACTCTTGTGCTCGCCTTTGCAAACACTATTGTGCACCTCGTCCCAACTTTTTCCTTCGGCATTTTCCACTCCCTTCGATTCAAGGGCGTTTTTCAGGAACGTAAACGTGTAGGAACATTTCCAGGGATTTTCTTCGACCAACAACTTACTCAAAAATGGCAGCGAATTTACTAATTTTAGCAATATGTTTGGATGATTGATATTATTGCCAGCGATGTTTAAGGAGGTCAGACCCTGAGGAAGACTTTCAGGGACGTTTTTATAACTGCAGTAAGAAATGTCTAAAGTTTTCAAGCCCACGTTGTTTGCCAAAAGGTTGTTTTTCAAAACGCCATCTAAATCTTCATTGTGCCCCAAATAAAGGTGCCTCAGTTTTGGATTGTCCTCGAAAAGTGAATTGGGAAGAAGTTTCAGCTTGTTGTAAGACACGTCCACCACTCCAAGGTGAGGCATTGTTCGGAATATGTGGCTGGGAATAGTGTTGAGTGCGTTGTGACTTAAATTCAGGTGCGCTAGAGAGGTCAGGGTGTCGATTGAGGCTGTTCTGATTTCAGTCATGCCACACCCTGACAGGTCAAGGAAGTAGAGGGACGTCAGATCACCCAGAAATCCGTACTCTGGAAGCTGCAGTCCTTCATTCCAGCTCAGTTTCAGGGTTTCCATATTCAAAGTGTGGGTGAAGAGATTTTTGTCCAGGGCGCCAAACAAGGAGTTGTGGGAAATGTCCAGGTACCGTAACTGGCGGAGGACGAAAGGCGAGTACAAATTGGTGAGGAGGTTGTTGCTGATGTTCAGGTTGATAAGCTCAGGGAGGTTGTAAAATAAGTCAATTGGAAGCTTGTCAATGTTGCATTGACTGATGTCTAACTCAGTGATGGCCAGATTTGGGTTCAGGTCGATCAGGGAGGATACATTAAACTCAGGGTTTCCACGCAGACCGAGAATCTGGAGGCTGAGTGGCAAGTTTTGGGGAACGTTAATTATCGAGTTGAATGACAAATTCAGTTCCTCCAGGTACGGCAAGTTGGAGAACGCCTCAGGGTGAATGTACTCAATGGCATTGTGCTCCAGACTGATAAAGGTCACGCGCTGCAGTTTGGCAAATGACTGCTGATATACGTGGGTCACTCCACACTCAGAAAGGTCGATTTCCTGTATTGAATGGGATTTCAAAAAAGGTTTGTTTTCTGGCAGTTTGAGACCAGGATTGTTTTTTAAATTTAAAAGCACTAAATTTGGGCAATGGTGCTTAAAAGTTTCGGAGTGGAGGGTACCTTGGAGGTCGTTATTGGAAAGGTCAATTTCTTCCAAAGCGTAGGCACCTTTAAAAGCTTCCAGGTTAATTTTTTCGATTTCGCAGTAGGTTAGTTTCAAGGTTCGAAGAAGACTGAAGTCTCTCTTGCCGACCAAGAAGCTTTGCTTCAAAGTCGGGATCAGTGAATTGGTCACTTCCAACCGGGTCACCAACCCCTGATCATGACCCGTCAGATCATATATTTGAAGGGATTCGTCATTTTCCTGAAAGCCATCGCACTTTACCAAGGCGTCCAGTTCACTTGAACTGCAGACGCAGTGGAGGGGACATTGGTCGTCAGGGACGTCGTTTTCTGTGTCGAGAATCGGGCCCGCAAAGCTCAAATCGCTCGCGAAGGTGAGGAGGAGGAGAAACGCTAAGAAGTGGCACCTCATTGCTAATTTTCTGGCTGCAACAATAAGTTAAGACAAATTAAAAGAAGTAAAATATTTTTGCTGCTTTTCTTTTCAAATTCTTATAAAATAATGTTATTTTTAAATGCACTAAACAAATTAAATTAATGGTATATATATAATAATTATATTAAAAATCAAACAATAATTTAAAAGAAAATATTAAAAATGAAAAAAATCTAGGCCTTGACGATTTTACTTGGCTAAAATGGCGCGTGCAAACAGATGGTGATATTTATACTTTGATAAAGCCTAAAGCGCACTTTGAAGTGTAACGCTCTACCTATTTATCATTACTTGCTTGATGTTTTCTTTTTTCTGCCTACAAAATATTTAAAATATTTTTCAAAATTCAAACATCTATAATAAATTGTTTAAATGCTTAAACTGTTATTATCTAAAAGTAATTATTTGTTCGTATTTTATATAATTATTATTCTTTAATTTTTGTAACAATATGTCTAGAGAAAATGTATACGCTAATTGAAAAGCCCGCTGACACTGCTGTTAATTTTCACACTGATTGTGTGTGTGTGGCTCAAATTTTGTTCCAACGACAAAAATTTATCCTCACACTACATTATAGCATTGTAAAGGGTTACCTTGAAAAGAAAATGAAGTGCTTCTTCTGCTCAATGACAGAATAATGTACGCCTGGTGGTGCGGCGGTATATGATGAGCTGGGCCCGTTTATGCGGCGCAGCGAGCTAGTTGGGCTATTATCGTGTCGTATGAGTGTGTGTTGCTCCAGCAGTAATATTGCGCGACTGCGAATAATACTTTCGAGAGATCTACATTAGATGATGAGACGACGCACGGCTCTTTTCACTCTCCGCGCGCTATCGGTTACTTCGTTCTTTTCAGGGCGAGGCGACCGCTGATTACACGCAGATAAGAAGAGAGCAATAGCAGGCGCGCGCGACTCCACGTCGCGCGGGTGATGAGAGCATCTCTTTGATTCGCACCTTTCCTCGTCCGCTCGCGTGAAACGTCGTGTTTACCCAAGTCTGCGACGACTGCAATTTCCTCTAGCGTTTTCATATAATCTTTTTTCGTGAAGGAAATTGGCACAGATAGGGATTTCTGATGACCACAAAAATATCATTGCAAATTTACAAGACGGAAAAATTATAACAATTAAATTAACTCCATGAAAAATTTCATACAAAAATTACAAATCTAAGTAATTTAAGGAAACTGTTTTTATTATAAATAGATCCAGAAAGTAACTGATACTGAATAATTGAAATATTTTAAAAAATGAATCATTTTTATTTCTTTATTAACCTTACTTTATTACTTTCTTGATCACTAGAACTTGATCCTAAATTAATTTTGACTACCTTCTAAAAAAAATTATGCTGTTCTTAAATTCATACAGTGGAATTGAAACTATTAAACTACACAAATGAATTCCATTTTCTAATTGCACTTGTTTAAATTCCCTGGACGTGTTTATCAAACTTGATGTTTTGAGTGGAGTTTCCAACAATTAGTTAACAAGGTGCCCCCGTTTACACACGGACAAATGGACTTCGTGCTCATTTGAAATATTTTTTTTTATCGTTTTTGTTTCCCCCCGGCAACCAAGTCAGAAGCAAAATTCGAAAGCGGCGCACACAATGCGAGAATAAATAAGGAAGGCGCGACAGAAATTATTCCAGACTGATGTCTCGCTGATTTGATATTCAATGAGGATGAAGCAACAGTTACACCGAGAGTGTTTATATTTGGTCAAGGTGCGCTTTGTGTAATTTCCTCTGGAACAATCGGCCCAAAATGGACGACACCACCGCGGTATCAGCGGCAGGTAATTTTGTTTTTATCAGAGATAAGGAGTTGCCATGGTGATGCACAATAAAGAGTGATTGAACGTGACGATGATAATGTGTTGACTTCAGCCATGATTGATTCGAGCAAAAGAGTTCCAAGTATAGCGAGGTTCGGCTCCCCCTTTCAATCGCGCAAGATTATTCCCTACAGTCAGCGAGCGCAGCGGCAATATCGCGGGCGAATTAGTTCTCAACTCCGCCTGGACTTACAGTGCGCAGGTTGGTCTTTCTAATTGTCTTAATTTCATTAACAGAATTGTCAAAAATTTAGTTTTTATCACCGAGGTAACCTTCTATAAATTGATAAGTTAATTTTTTCCGCACCAATTTTCCTTTGATGACCTCAAATGGAATAAAATTATTTTTTTGCATTCATACAAAAGCTTCACGGTCTCAATTCACTTTCAGTGTTTTATTTTACCTTTTTTTATTATTTATTTATTTTCAAGGGTGGATGCGGACTTTATACGGTTTTGTCAACTGCTGATGGCTGTTTGCACCGCTGCTGGCAAACACACATTCCGCCAGGCCTCTCCATATAAAATTTATACATGCCCCGCGCTCTCCTCGCGGCAGATAATCCTAGACGTGTATTATAAAGGCTTTAGTTAGTTAGTGGGCAAGGAGACTTGTTGCAGTGCACATCTTTCGCTGCGGCCAACTGCTGGAGATTATCCTTCGCGGCGCAGTCAGCCAGCTTTTTGCTCTCGGTGTGCCTTGCGTCACCACACACTGAAAAATATATTTTTTATCTCTCGAGTGCCTACGTCTGTGCCAGGCCACTTTTATATATGTGTGACACGATCGTAATTGCAAGGATTTGATCTGGTCCGCAGCTTCTTATAGATCACGTGAGTTCCCCGAGATGCATTTTTATTCAGCGCAGATATAATTGTGATTAATCGGGGCCGCGCTTGCCAATTGAGTACGTCGAGCACTTGCGCAATAATTGCATTTTTGTTATGAGCACTCGCCGCAATTTCATTTTGCAATTCGTTTGAATTGTTATTATATCGCTGCGGGTAGTTTTTTTCTTCACACCGCTCGCATAAAAAGTGTCGAATGTTTAGCCGCAGTAAATCTTCCGAGCCGCACCACGGCAATTTAACGGGAAATTATCATTGTGCAGCAAAGAAAGATGATTCACGTTGAAGGCCGCGGCGCAAGAAAAATTGCATTAAACCATTATGGCGCATACGTCAAGCATTATATGACATAATTTGGAGGAAATTCGAAAGTGAATTCAATATTTGCCTAAAAGTGTTGACTCATTGTGGCGCAGCAGTGCAAACACACCGCCCAAAGTTGGCCTCTGCTGAGCGAAAAAATGTTTTAACTAGGCTCTTTTTTTATCTTTTGACAAGAATATTTAAAAAACTTCCTTGTTCATATTAAATGATCTCATTTTGTCACATTAAATTTGGTTCAATTTTGCTAATTTTAAAATTATTTTGTTTTAGAAGCAATGAAGCTCCGCAACTTTGCGGTGATGGCCCTGCTCTTGGGCGCAGCTGCTCTCGCCTCGGCCGACTACCCCACGGCCACACCTTTGAGTTTCATCCCCAAAAATGAAACCTGCCCTGCTGGATGCATGTGTGTTGAGAAAGACGAAATGCTGGAGGTGGTGTGCCCTACTGAAGAGACTATTGACAGAATAAACGGCGCTGCGCCGAGAGATGTTGACCCTGCTGACGTAGTTGACGTCGAGTCTTTCATGGCCTCGGAAAACAATGAAAAAAGTGCACGTCTTGCTGACGATGACTTTCATCTGGTAGAAGACAAACCGACTGAAGAACAGGTCTCCGCAGGTGATTCAAATGCTAAGCCAGATGTGCCCGCGATCTCTGAAGAGCCTTTAAATTTCCTTGCTAGTGAAGAAGAAGTCAAAACTGAGAAAAAGGCTGAACCTAGTGAAGTTCATGATGGTGCAGCAGAGGAAGTGTCTGAGAATAACATTGCCGCTGACGATGACTTTCATTTGGTAGAAGACAAACCAACCGAAGCACCGGTCTACATCGAGAAATCAAGTGCTACTCCAGATGTACCCGCCATCTCTGAAGAGCCATTAGATTTCCTTAGCAGCGAAGAAGAAATAAAAACAGAAGAAAAAATTGAGCCTAGTGCACTTCTTAGTGAGGCTGTGGCCGAAGAATTCAAAGTTTCAAAAAATAAAACGACAACTGAGGATGACGATTTCAATTTAAAGCCTGACCCCATTGACGAGGGTTTCATGTTGAGTGACCAGCCAGTTGAAGACCTTGATGAGGAGGAAAATGTGACGGAACAAGAGTTGGGTAAAGTGGAAGACAATTCGAAGTTCAGCGAAGACGTTGATCAAAACCTGGACGTATCACCGTCCCCTGCGCCTACAGAAAAGTCTGAAGTCATTGAAAGTAAACCAGTTGCTACAAATGAGCAAGAGGTCGATTCCTCTGCATTGCCCTCCTCTCCGGTACCAAAGGAGGAGCCATTGAATTTTTCGGCGGAAAAGTCTGAAGAGGAGGAGAAGCCCTCAACGGCTGCAGAGATAGCAGTGAGCCCAAGCCCAGTGCCCGAAGCTGTTGACGACAGCTTCAATTTGAAGCCTGATCAAAAGGAGGAGGAGGAGGTTATTGCGGAAGACTATTCTGAAGAGGATGAGTCTCCTACAGCCACTTCTGCAAGTCCACAAGAAGTACCTGATGACCAAAAACCAACTTCGGAAAACCCAAACCCTCTGGTCCAGTCTAAAGAATCTGAAAGTTTGGAAAACGAGTCTGGTGAAAACATTACTGCGGTTGGAATAAATCCTAAAAATATTGCGTCCGGACAGGTGGACTTGACCTCCAACAACCTGATCATGGCTGGAGACGTTGAATTGAATGGAAAGTTCCAAAGTGATGAGACAGCTACTGGCGCGACCGAGGCTCCTGAGCAGTCCACGACCTCTTGGGTCATTCTAGGACTGATTCTAGCCATGTTCGTTGGCGTTCTTCTTTATGCTGGCCTCAAGGGTCGAATGGAAAGTGGCCAGGAAAATGTACCGAAAATCTCAATCAGCAACAACGTGCCCGAATTTACAAAAAACCGAAAGCCCAGTGGCGAGGAAGGAACGGAACTAAAGGAAATGTCCAAGGCCCTCCTGAGCTCGCCCGGCTCACCTCTGGAAGATCGCGTTTCTCGGTACATCGACGAAGAATGTGATGACGAGCAAATCAAAAAGTTTATTGCCCAAAAGGAGCGGGATGAAATCCTCGAGCAGGTCGTCGTCGATCCGCAGAATCCGCGTCCGGTCAACAACGCCGTTGAAAAGCCTCCTCGCAAATTCACCCACGTGCCATCGGTGTCTGACGATGTGGCAGGTTCATCTCCAAATTCTCCGACCCTGGTTCATGCAAAGATGGTGGACATGTCACCGCAGCTGCCTCGCTTCATCACCAACGGAACTGCGTCAAATCCATTTGGAGATGATAATTAGGAGTGTTATCATTTGATTGATTTTCCAAAAAATGTACAAGTGAGTCGCGAGTATCAAATAATTAGACAAAAAATAATTTAAATTTTAGTTCATTTCAACACCGACTGCATCAAAAGAAAAAGCTTATATTTTATGTTCATTTTAATGGTATTAAATTCTAACCTAATTTACGCTATTTACTTAAATCAATTCAACCACAAGAAGGGGTTTGCATAACACACAAATTTAATTTAGGCAGCCGCGAGTGGCAGGTGTGTTGCGCCAGTTGCCTACATTCAGTGAACATGTAAGGCCAATTAATATTGTTTGCACTTTTATTCGCCATGGCTATTTTGAGTGGACTTGTGTATGCACAATTTACAGTATGATATCATCGTGTAAATAAAGAGTGACTTTTTGAAATTCATGCATCTTAACTTTTATTGAAAATAATAATTACGCAATATTATTTTGAAAATAAAATTTCGTCGTGGTTAATTGCGGAAACACTGTACATGACATTTTTCTAATTGCTTCAGGTTTTTTTTACTTTAATTGAAAACTCCATTCATTCCTAAATCAAAACTGCAATTTTATATCCAGAAAGCATTCAAGTTAATTATTTTGTTACATTTCCATTCCTCTCTATATAATTATATTTAATTTGAAATGAAAAAAAAAAAAGAATGAACTGGTTCCAATCAAATACCCTCCTACATATTGAACCAAAATTTAATATCTAGTAGGTCTCCATATTGTTTGTAAAAACTCAAAAAATATTTTATTTGTAATATATGTAATATATAATTGAAGATTCAGGAAATAAAAATGAAACGAGAAAAATTCTGCAAAAATTAAAGATTTCAAGGATATTTAAATTAATGGAAAAAATATTGAATTGATATTTCTCAAAATATTCAATATATAAAAATAACAATTTTTATTGTCAAGCTATGGATCACATGACAAAGAAATGAGCTTGTTTTACATCAAAATGAATTCAGTGGTGATTAATTATGTATATATTTTAAACTTTAAATTTGTGCTTAACACCAAAATTTTATAAATGAGCGCTTATATTTTATGTTCATTTTAATGGTATTAAACTTTTACCTAATTTACGCTTTATACTTTAATCAAGTCAACCACAAGAAGGGTTTTGCATAACACACAAATTTAATTTAGGCAGCCGCGAGAGCCAGGTGTGGCGCTGGTTGCCTACATTCAGTAAACATGTAAGACGAATTAATCAAAATAATATTGTTTGCACTTTTATTCGCCATGGCTATTTTGAGTGGACTTGTGTATGCACAATTTACAGTATGATATCATCGTACAAATAAAGAGTGACTTTTTGAAATTCGTGCATCTCAACTTTTATTGAAAATAACACAATATTATTTTAAAAAGAAATTTTCTTTATCAAAGTTCGCTCACTTGCGGCACTCTCTCACTTTCCTCAGTGTTATTAACACTTCGTTCCACTTCCACGTTTTGCTCACTGTCCGAGTCATCCGATGACCTTGACACCACACGGTCAATGATGGCCACACTAACGGAGGACGCGGAGAGCAGTACGGCTTCCTCGTAAGTGGGTGGCTGCTCGGCCGCGGCGCGAGCCAGCACTTGATTTTGGCGTTCGTTGCACGGCGTGCACTGCCGCGTGTCGGCACTGTGCACCCTGGTGCGAGGAACTCGCACCGAGACGGCCTCGTCCGAGTCATCGTCCGCCGAATTCTCGCCCCGCTCGGGCTGATTTCGGACGATGTCCCGCCGCCGTCTGCTCGATTTTCTTCCGGCGGCCATCGCCTTTTTTGAGCACATCACGGCGGCCACTATCGTCCCGAGGCATGCAACCAGGATGACCGTGAGCAGGACCGTGTTGTCTCTGGCGGAAGTCGTGGGCTCCGAAGGGACTAAAATGGTGCACGCATCCTCCCAAAATTTTCCACTCACGCTCTCAGGGTCTTGGCACTTCAAAGTGTTCCTTCCAGTTTCGGACAAACGTTCCGTCAGTTCCCACAACTTGATGAACTCAGGGTCTGTGCAGTTGCAGAACCATGGGTTGTCGTACAAATACAAACTGCCCAAATTTTTATTATCTTTGAAGGTGCTTGCATTTAAATTAGTTAATCTGTTTCCTGAAAGATTTATTTTGTGCAGTTTTGTAAGGTTTTTAAAATTTTCATGCGTAACCTGTTTCAAGTGGCAGTAACTCAGGTCCAGGTGCTTAAGGGAGTTGCTTTTTAAGGCGGGAATGGTTTTTAATTCGTTGTGAGATAAATAAAGGGTGTCCAAGCGGCTCATTCGGCTTAAAAAGTTTGGGCCACTCGGCAGTGATTGCAAACGGCACCGGCTGAGGTCAAAAACCACTACGGATGGCATGGTCAGGACACTCGGTAAACTTGTGATGTCGTTTCGAGACAAGTTTAAAAATTGCATTTCGGCGCAGCATGCAAAAAGGTCATGTTGCAATGATTCAATTCGGTTGCTGGAAAGATCAACCGAAACTAAATGTTTCGCGTTAACAAACAAATCAAGCGGAAGCTCGCGAATTAAATTGTGGCTCAGGTCAATTTCGAGTAAAGCCGACTTTTTGGCAAAATTTTCTTTCCGAACGCCAGTAATTTTGTTGCAACTAAAGTAGCCGTGAGTCAGCGAAGGAAGTTGCGAGAGCGCCAACAGTTTTATATCGCAGTGGTCAGCGGTCAGCTCCAAAAGAGCCTTGGACTGCAAGGGGGGATTTTGTGGTAGGTCTAGTTGTTTGTTTCCAGAAATATGTAGGTGCTGAATATTGGGCAGATTTGCCAAACATTTTGCTGGAATTGAGGTCAGGTTGCAAGAGTTGAGGTCAAGCTGCCGAAGGGTTTGGACGTTAAGTTTATCAGGAAATGTTTTTAATGGGTTAAAAGAGAGGTTCAGTGACCTAAGAGCAGTCAGGTTTGAAAATGATATTCCGGAAATCGAGACAAACCCGCAAAAACTCAAATCCAAAATTTCAAAATTCGCACCAACTAAGTCTCCAAGCTGTGTTAAATTTGGATTATTTGACAGTTTCAAATCGTAAATGCGAGAGTTTGTAGCAAATAATTTGCTGGGGAGACTAGTATTGAGTTGATTATGGGATAAATCGACGCTGCGCAGATCTTGCAACCCTCTGAATGTATCTCCCGGAACGAAGGGAATCAAATTGTTTTTCAGGATAAGCGTTTCCAGCTGTGGTGCCAGATGACTTAATCGAGGCGGAAGTGATGTTATCAAATTGTTTGATAAATCCAAAAACTGAAAATTAAATATCAATAAATATTATTTATATTGCATGTATTTTATTCTTTAAAATTAAATTTAACAAAATATTTGTTCTTACCTGCGTAGACACGTGCAGATTTTGTGGAAATTCAGTTAAATTTCTTCCAGAGCAGTCCACTCTCCTCGGCATGCCACTCAAATCGCAAGCACATCCTTCGGGGCAAGGGACGTGCAGGTCAGGCAGCGCGGCCTCGGAAACGGCCCCCGCGAGCACCAACAGCAGCAGTGACCGCAGCATCGTCTCCTGACCTGCGAATTTGTCACAATGAGAGGTGTTTATGTTCAGGTGCAAAATGGGATCGGCAGTATTTTCTCGATGACTCACAGCGAGAGCGAAAATGCAATCAGAAGTGAATCGGTGAGCGCACAGCTGAACTACATCTTTTCTCTCTTGAACTATATGGAGCGCCGCATTAGCGGATTGTTTTATCTCATCGCTCTGCTACAAAGATAAAGAGGAGCTAGCCTGGGCACAGCGCTCTGTGTGTTCTTGTGAGCATTACCCCCCAGCGGTTATCTCACCTGATGAACAAATATATATATTAGACGGCCCATCTGAAGCCAAATGGTGTTATGGAAAAAGCATTATAATTAGAAAAATGATTCAGTTAAATATTCTTTACGATTCTTTATACCGCTTTATACACTTAAGAGATATTTCTACTTGTTTTCCTTATATTATACAATTTTTACACATTTATAGTTTAAAAACTTACTAGTAATTTTCAGTTAATAAATTTTAAGAGGAAAAAATAATTCGCTCACCTTTACATATTGAGAAACGTTGTCAAAGTTTTTTTGACGTGCTCATTAAAATGTAATTAAGCTGTGTGATTAAATGGTTTTGTAATAATTTGTATTGTGGCGCATGCTATGCTAATTTGTATGCCAGTCTGCGGCGTTCGTTGGGCGTTTGCGGCCACGCCGTATAAGGAGGAAGCTCTGGTTCTTGATAATCCACGTGAAATGCATTAGTCGAGTTGGTGTGATGGTGCGTTGCGTTATCGGCCAAGCTAGTGCTATCTTTTGGTTTTGTACAAAAGCTCTAAAGAGAAAATTTTTTCGCGGATATTCACAGAAAGAATTGAAAATGTAATTTTTTTAATTAAATTTAAAATTAAAGAATTAAAAAAAATCAAATAATATATAATACCATTAGAAATTATTAGGAAACCTGAAAAAAAATTAAGTTTTCATTCTCAGCTTTTGTGTTCTTATTTTATCCCTTATCCATAATGAAGAAATTTAATCAATTTTCGATTTGAAATTTATATTCAATGCATCACATTTTTCCTCATATTTGTTGAAAAAAAACTGCAGGTTCAGCGCAGGTTATGCAACTCGCTTGACACTAGTGCTATGCAAGTTGTATAAAACGCACATTACCTCAAAATGAATTAAACTCATTTTCATTTATTAAAAGCTTGTAAGTTTTTCTTTTTTCAAAACAAAACTCCAGGTCACATATTCATATTTCCCTCCTCAATGGTCAGGTATCTACATTTTGAGATTCCTTCTTTTCCCCTTCTTCCTCGTCATAAAGCTGGAGGCCTTTCACGTAATGCCAGACGCCAACATCCCACAGTGAGCCAAAAAATAGGAGACCTATCAGTGCAGTAACGTTAATAATAAAAAATTAAATAGTTTTCTACCAAACAAACCAACTATTGGAATGTTGACCAAATATCGTAATCTTTGCACATCATATATCCAACAGTTTCCTGGTTTGCCGCACGTTTGGCCCCACACAAGGCAAGATAGATCTAGTTTTTAAATATTTACATTTTTTTATAATTTCTTGCGCATTCATTTGCAAATTACCAATCAAATATCCGAACACAATTGGTCCAGGGATGAAAGCGAAAACGCATAGAAGAAATTCGGCTAACGCAATCGATAGGGGCTTATCCTCAGGGTCGACGCACCTGAAGTGGATTAAAGTGTTTCCTGCTCTACCGGTGGCGGCAAGAAATCGCTGAACGCATTGGATGATAATGAAAAACATAAAAGCGCGATTGCAGTCAACAGGACACGTACCGTCCACTATGGGACCACCTCCCTCTACGCACGTACAATTTGTGAAAACCTTTAAAACAAAAAATCATGAAATGATTAATGGTTAAAAGTTTAAAAATAATATTTAGCAAATAAGCAAATCTACTTATAGCTGAAAAAAAATATTTATTTGAGGCTTGAATTATTATTTATATCTACTATTTTTTTTAACAAACTATTTAATAAATTTTAAGTATTAACAGTGATTTGGAATTAAAATTCTTTACCGGTTGCTTCTTCCTTTATAATTTTTTTCTCCTTTATATTTTTCCATTTTTTTTTTAATATAATCAAAACCAATCAAAATGTAACCTTACTTTTAACAACGAGTTTTCTTCATTCCAACTCGCATCCTGACACCCTGCATGACACGGTGAGAAAAATGTGGTTTTCGAAGGAATATGACAAACTGGTGAGTATCGGAGGGAATCAAGACACGAGCAGTTTGCATTGCAATCGACCCCTAAATTTAGTCTGGTGAAGCAAAATGTTCTTCACTAATTATATTAAGATAATATTCACTCACGTTCCATCTAATTCAGGCGTTCCTTGCAAATTGAAAGTTTCGCACCCAATAAAAATTATTACAATAAATCCAAAGAAGTCAACAAATTCGGTAATCACATTCCAGCAGGCCAGAATTCGGGCGTTTGGTTTAAATTTGTAAATGGTCAACGCAGAAACCAGCACACCGGCTCCGGTGCATAAAAGTCCAACAGAACCTAAATTGGTAATAATGTAGAATAAAGATTTGAAATTCTTAAGGAATTTTAATAATTTTTTTTTCTCGGTCAATAAATACTTTGATATTTGAAAAAAGATATAATATTTCATAGTTCTGGATTAACTTAGTGGGAAGGAGGCGTTGCGAGATGCGAGCAATATTTACCGCTTATAAAACTAGCCGTGGAGGCCGACTGGTGGAACTGCGTCTCCATGTATTTGGGCATGAAGCTCCACTGGCCAATCAAGCCAAAGGCAAAGAAAACGCTGCTCATATTATTGCAAAATAGCACCTTGTTCTTCATCAATCGCAAAATTGCTGCTTTGAAATCTGACAAAGAAAATATTTTTCAATGAGATATTAAAAAATTCTTCCCTACGTTTAAATGATCAAGTGATTATTACCTGAAAATGATTGTTCAACCTTTTTAAGGGGGTCATAAGAACGTCCGGCCGCGGATGCAGCAGCCATACTACGCTGCGTGGCCCGCGGAAGGCTTCGAGGAAACATGGCCATCAACGACGCAAAAAGGAGGCATATTATGCCAAACGGCGCCCACCCTTGAGTATTCAAAATTGCTTACGTATATATTTTGTATTTAGTTTTTATACCGAACCACCATGCTCCAATCCAGCGAGTGTCTTCTGTAGTAATGACGGGGGTCAAGAGAGGGTCAACATACATTTTTAAAGCGTATGATGACAACATGAATCCGAAAGTAGGGCCGATCATACCCAAACATTGACTTACGGCTGGAAAATTTCAAATTCGGTGACATTATTAAAATGATAGGTCTTATTTAATCCAAGCCAAAACTACAATTGCTAGAGATTTTTTTAATTAATTGCAAAAAATTCAAAATGGTTTTTGCTTTTATATTAACATTACTTGCCGATAAGAACAGGTGATTTGTTTTTCTTGGCGTTGTCGTCCAAATAGGAAATGCCGAGCGTGTAGTAAACGGCACCTCCTACGCCCTGAAGAAGATTCGAAGCAAGGAAAATTAAGGCGGAAATGTTGCCTGAACTGGCATGTTCGCAATCCTCAAATTCTACGTGGTTGTTTCCACAAAGCGTCACCTTGGGCCCTATTTTTATTTGGCACGAACAATAGTTAAAATATTTGAATTGAAATTGAGCTCATTTGAATGAATAAAATAAACAGCTTCACTAATCTTCGTCACGGTCTGCGAACCTATTTCATGAGCAAAGGCGCTAATCTCACTGACCCTGAAAATGCTGCGACCCTGAAATACGGTCGTAGACCGTGACCAATCAAATTATAATAAATAGTGCTCTGCGTTTGATGTTATGTTATTATTATAAAATATTAATAAAGGGAAAATGAACCAATGATTTATTTTATCTATTTTTATCAATAAAATTTTGTTAAAATAAAGTTATACATTTTCATGTATTTTTTTTCACTCTTTAAAGAGCAGGTTAACATTTTAGAATTGTGTTGTTGGCAAGATCAGAAACAAAACTAATGTTCAATTATAATGCCCAAATGAAATGGAGAAAAAACTGGAAACTTTTTAGAGTGTGATAAATAATTTAAATCATTTAAATTAGTATTCAAGAATAATACCTGAGGTGCCCGAAGCATTGAGTGATTGAAACTCATTTCCAAACTCTCTGGTGAGTGAAAGGGCAGTGTCGCCGGGTCCATAGAGCCAGTGAGGAATGAGACGTATGAAGCAAGAGAGTCCAACAACGGCGGTTCCCCACGCGACCCATCGAGGTTTATGACCTGCCCTGCCCCAGTAAGTGAGAGGCAGATTGGCGACTAATCCTCCGATGTCCCAAGCACAATTAATCAACCCTTAATCAACCAAAGCAATTATTTTCTAATTGATTATATTTATATGTAAAGTTACCGGAGTAGGCGCTTGGGATTTGGAAGCGTTTTTCCATTGTACTGATGGTGCCCACAAAAAAAGCGCCCAGGGCGTGTTGCGCGCAACCTATAAGGCCGTAGACCAACATGTAGGTCTTCGTGCTGGCAAATTTTTGCAGCCACGGATAACGGAAAAATCCCACACCACATTGTGTTTCTTTTTCCAGCAAATCGGCCTCAAGAACAGAAGCAACTGAAAATTTATCATTAGAAAATTAATGAAAATATTTCTTTCCTGACCGACGCCTCTGATCTTACCCGGATGCTCTGCCGCCATCGGTACTCGTGTTGTGCTCATATGTGTGCAAAAATAACTGCTCGCCGAACAATCCTCGGACACGGCTTTTGCACACTCGCGCGCACGGTGGACCAGCTGACGCAAAATTACACGAGCAATTTAAATATTTTATATTTCTCCTACCTTCTCTCTAAAATGAAGTTAACGACGTGGGAATTCCATGGCTTAATCTTCGTGAGTTTTAAACCATGCTCTCAAAATTGTTTTTCAAAATTGCCAATAATTACGGGTGTACATGAAATTTTTCAAAAATATAAATGAAAGCAGACTTTATAATTCAGTTTCAAGTGGTCGTATGATGGAATTATGGTTGAGTTTGTCTCATTGCAATCTACCAAATAAAATTGTGCTTCAAAGTCACTCGTCAAAGGTCAAGGTCACTGATTTTAATAATTTAATTTTTCAATTTTTCTTCCTAAAATTGAAGCAGAACGTTGAATGTTAAATTTGACTCCAAATTAAGGTTTTCCAGACTCCTTTTTTTGTGACAAGTTTTGTTTAATTTAGAGTAAAAATTATTTAATTTTAAATAATAATAATATAAAATCGTTTTTCGTCAAGTTTTTATTTCAAGACATGAAAAAATTAAAACGGTGTCTAATCCAGTCTATGCTTTTTCGAATTATCGAAAAAATAAATTTAACGATTTTCTGTTATATTAATAATGCTTCTAATATTCACTTTTATTAATTTTAATGAGCTTCTTTTCGTAATTACAATTTGTTACAATTAGGCTTTCATTACAAATTAAATAGAGTAAGGATAATGCGATATAATTGATAAAACTAAAATTATCCTTTTACATGTATTTCTAAAATTTAATTGTAGGGATGAGTAGGTTGCTCGATCTCGGCAAGCAGTTTTCACGCACAGCACCAACGGCGGCAGAGATTTATATGCATTTGATTTTATTTAACAATCTGCAATTTTATTGTATTATTTCAATACTTCTGCTTTTTCCAATAACAGTAAACTTTTTTTCTATGAACAAAATAATAATAAAAAGTTGTAAAGAAACTGTAGCAATCGGTCAAAAAATCATTTAAATTTAATAAATACGTTTAAGCACCTGTTTGGTCATTCAACAAATTGTCCTGCGGCGTCGATTCCTCTGGCTCAGAGTCCGGACAGATCCTTGACAGGTCAGGAGTGGCCATGGCGAAATTATTAGCTCCGTTGGTTCATGAATATAGAGCAACTGGCCGCCGTTCAAATCAATGCAAAGCCAAGTTGACTCGATAGAGGACCTTAATGTTAAAGAGATAAAGGCGTTTTCGTAATTCTTATGTCATCAAGCAGCCACTGATAATTTTTCCCACTCAAGCAAATAAAGAACGCGCCCAAAATTTTACATTTTGCAGTGCAGTGGATGATTGTTTGAAATCCAAGATCATTAAACTAATTTTCTGATTTCACAGCCAATATGTTTAAAAAAAATTATCTTCTCAAACAGAAAATTTTTTAATTATCAGAGTGGAAATTTTCAAAATAAAAAAGGAATACCAGGTTTCTAGTCTAAAAAATTACAAGAACGTCCCCTTTTTGAAACGAAACAATGTTATGCCGACTGTGACTGTTTTAACTATGTAACACATAATTAAAAATGTATGTAAATATTTATCATTTGCATTACAATAATAAATAAAAAATAAAAATTAAATGAAATTTATTTAAAATTTTATCTTTATTTAATAGAAATTATTTTTCTTAAATTTACATAAATTTTTATATTTTTATTTATTTTATCTAACACTTTTTAATGATAAAAATAATAATGAATGCAGTTACTTAAATTATATATTTAATTATAAATACAATGGTAAACTATAAATATTTTTTATCACTCTTTTTCATATACGACTTTAAATTATACCACTAAACACTAATTGAACAAATATAAATTTTATTTCTACAGTCATGTCTTCTATATGTCATCAGTTGTAGCTTTTCATAAGTCACCATTAACATTTGGGTCTCTGCCGGCCATCAATGTCAATGCATTATTTGAAAGTTGAAACCATTCGCTCCTCGGGTGGTTCAGAGTGGTTGAAGACCTATGTAAGAGCAAACCATCGTGGTTTGCTCTTTTTCTTATTTTCATCCTTTTCGTCGTAAAGCTGAAGACCCTTTGCATAATACCATACGCCGATATCCCAAAACGTGCCCAAGAGTAAACAGACTAATTTCGAGATTGTTAAAATTTGCACATTTAAGAATAAGATCCAACTGACCAACTATTGGAAGGTTGACCATATATCGCAACTTTTGCACGTCATAGAGCCAACAGTTCCCTGGTTTGCCGCAAGTTTGGCCCCACACAAGACAAGTCATGTCTATTTTAGGAATTATAATTTTGTCTCATATACCATGTTTTTATTTTACTGTTAAAATTGAAAAAATTACCAATCAAATATCCAAACAATATTGGTCCAGGGATGAAAGCAAACGCGCAGAGAAGAAACTCAGTTAGGCCGATAGCGACAGGCTTATCTTCAGGGTCGACGCATCTGAAGTGGATTAAAGTGTTTCCTGCTGTCCCAGTGGCGCCGATGAACCGCTGGACGCATTGAATGATAATGAAAATCATAAAGGCGCTGCTGCAGTCCACTAGGCAGGGGCCATCCATAATGGGACCTCCGTCCGCCACGCAGCTGCAATTTGTGAAAATCTTGAAGCAGAAAAGCATTTGAATTTTAATTTTTATATGAAATATGAAACTGCTGAAATTTATAGAAGTAATAGAGCTGCTTAAAATGCAGTTAATATTATTTGAATTTTGGTTATGAAAACTCATTTTTAATTTTAATTAGTGTAGGCAAAGTTATGTTGATTAAAAGTAATTGAAATTTTGTAAGAAAAAATTGAAATGAAATAATCCAAAATCCAAATAATCAAATTATGGTAAAAAAAACCACCAGCGATAATATTAAATTTTTACTTAAATCCTTATTTGTGGATTTCAAGAGCAAATTATTGAAATTGTTCTTACTTTTAACGATGAATTTCCTTCACCCCAACTGGCGTCAACACATCCCGCGTGGCACGGCGAAAAAAATGTGGTCTTTGAAGGAATATGACACACAGGTGTGTACCGGAGTGAATCAGGACATGAACAGTTTGCGTTGCAATCAACCCCTAAATTTAGTCTAATTCAAATTTTGATATCAAAAGTTGATCTTTCGTAACAAATAATCACCCACGTTCCGTCTGGTTCTGGCGTTCCTTGCAAATTGAAAGTTTCGCAGCCAATAAAAGTGACTGCAAGGAAACCAAAGCAGTCCAGAAACTCGGTGATCACATTCCAACCGGCGACAGCTCGAGCGTTTGGTTTGAATTTTGAAATAATCAAAGCGGACACCATCAGTCCGGCTCCAGTGCATAAAAGACCGACGGAGCCTAGAAATTATATTATTATTGCCTCTAGATTTTTACTTACATGAAAATTGAAAAATCTTTTTTTTTTTAATGCACATCTCTAAAGGGGAAAGTACTGAAGATGTTTGAGATTTGCTAAATAATCACCTGTAATGAGATTAGCCGTTGAGGCGGACTGATGGAATTGCGTCTCCATATATTTAGGCATGAAGGTCCACTGACCAATGAGGCCAAAGCAAAATAAAATGCTGCTCACGTTGTTACACAAAAGCACCCTGTTCTTCATCATTCTCATAATTGTCGCCTTGAAGTCTTAAAAATTTCATTAAAAACGTATTTTTTGTGTTACAATTTTAAAGAAGATAAGGATATTTAATAATTAATAAATATAAATAAAAAAATTATTTTCCCTCATCATTAATTATCAAATATTTTTTTTTTTTAAATGTCAAAAGTTTTAAAATTTACTCAAAACTTTTGTTTTTGAATCTAATTTCAAAGATTTCAAAATTAGCAGAAATCTCCAAATATTACCTGCTATTGATTTCTTGACTTTTTCTTGGGGATTGTATGTACGACCGGCCGCAGTTGCAGCGGCCACACTACGCTGGGCGGCCCTTGGAAGGCTACGAGGAAACATGGCCACCATCAAGGCAGTGCACAAACAAACCGTTCCAAACGGAGCCCAACCTATATTTTTAATATTTTTTTTATTGAAATAAAAAAAAAATCAAAATTAATATTTTTTTTTTTACCAAACCACCAAGCTCCTATCCAGCGAGGGTCTTGCGGCGTAATGACTGGCGTCAAAGTTGGATCAACATACATCTCTAATGCGTAAGATGAGATCATATAGCCTATGGTAGGTCCAACCATTCTCAAACATTGACTTATTGCTGGAAAAAGTGAAAAATTTTATTTTTTTAATTTGAAAATTGGAATAGGAAAAATAACAATGCGGGAATAGTTGTGCAATACTTGCCGAGAAGAACTGGCGCTTTGTTTTTCTTGGCGTTGTCATCCAAGTAGGATATTCCGAGAGTGAAGTAAACGGAACTGCCGATGCCAAGAACAATATTTGATGCGAGAAATATGAAGGCAGATATACTGCCTGAACTAGCATTTTCGCAATCTTCAAATTCGATATGCTTGTTTCCGCAAAGAGTCATCTTTGGCCCTATTTTAATAAATAAAACACCAAACTAAAATTATGAATATTTAATGTATTATTATTAATAATATTACGTCAGATGATAAGAAACCTTGTAAAATAAAAATTATCTAAAAAACTGAAAACTGTGCTTTTATCTTTAAAATCAGTACTTTGAATAATATAATATAAGAATGAAAAATGTCATATTTATTTGCCATTGGAATTTTCCCATCCCTCACCGCCCTATCTGAAATTGCATCTACTCGTTAGCTAATTGCTTTTTTCTTATCTCCTCGAACTCTTAAATGGGATACATATCATGGTAAAAATTTATTAACAAAGTCAGGAATTTTTAAATTTGTTAAAAGGGGGCAATATAATTAAGAAACAGAAAATTTAATGCTGAGCTGAGAAAATGAATTCCTTTTCCTTTAAACTCAACCATTTTTCTTTACAAAATTTTACTAGATTTCTCTTTTCTGTGATGCCTTTTGATCGCGTTAGTTCACATACACGAGAGTGCTTAGTAAAATTTTACAAAGCGGAGAATGTTATTTATGTTTTTTTCATTAGTTAGTAAAGTATACAATTCATAAACATTTCTTACCTGATGAAGTGCCAGAGTCATTGAAAGATCGAAACTCAGTTCCAAACTCTCTGGTGAGTAAAAGGGCATTTTCTCCTGGTCCGTAGAGCCAGTGCGGGATGAGACGGATGTAGCAGGAGATTGCGACGAGGACGGTGCCTGAAGCGACCCAGCGCGGTTTGTGACCAGATCTGCCCAAATATGAGGCGGAAAGGTTCGCAAACAATGCCCCAATATCCCATGAACAATTAATTAAACCTTAATTTTACACATAATTAGTGAATGAATTTTAATTTTTAATTAAGGTACCTGAGTAGATGCTGGGTATTTGGAAGCGTTTTTCCATTGTACTGATGGTGCCCACGAAATAGGAGGCCAGAGCGAATTGTGAGCAACCAATCAGGCCGTACACCAAAACATAAACCTTTTTGCTGGCTAACTTTTGTAACCAGGGAAACCGGAAAAATCCAATGCCACATTCTGTCTCTTTTCTTAGTAAATCGTCTTCGCAGGCAGTAAAAACTTAACACAAAATTTATAATAAAATCGGATTATAATTAAAAATTGTTGTCAATATATCAATTTTCATTTATGTTTCAAATGCTTGGGCATGAATTAAATTGATTCCTTTTTTGTAAATATGAAGCATAAAGCGCATTTCTTATGAAATATTATAAATAATATAATATATAGTTTAAAAAGATAACCGCGTGTGTTGCCCAATTTTTTTTATAATGATAAATTAAAATTTTATATTAAAAAAAATACAACAACAATTATAGTACAAATTGAGCACCTGGTTGGTCCGTTAACAAGTTGTCCTGCGGTGCTGATTCTTCTAATTCAGGGTCACGGGAGACCCTGGAGAGGTTAGAGGTGGCCATGATAGTTTGTGGAAAAACTATGAGGTGCTCTGGATCATGGCTTGCGAATGGCTGGTCGCGCGCGGACTAGAGATGCAAAGCAAATATGCGACACAAGAGGCTCCCTCATCTAATCTTGATCAAAGAGATAGGACCCTATCGTAATTCATTCAGCCAGACAAATAACTTGCCTAACTCAAGAGAGACGCATTCAGCATTAATGCTATTGTTGTTGAATTTATTTTTTTGATGAGCGAAAATATATTTCCAATCGAACGGTGACGTTCATTGTCAGACTGTTTAATTTTCACATCTAAAAATAATGTATAATTTGTGAAGTGAAGTCAGCCTTTTAATTTTAATGCTTAATAATACAAGATGAAGTTCTGTGTACCCAACTTTAAAAAATCTCGTTGATTTAAAACTTAAATGTAAAACATAATTTTTTTTTCTATAAATTAACTTATAACAAAATCTTGAAGCTGTAGATGTGCGGCATGGTTATTACAGACGGAATGAAAGTTTAAAACGATATTAACAACAATACAATAATTTATGGAAATAAATTTTATAGTTTTTATAACAAAATAATTATATGTTAATTCTTCACGTTTTCCATTTGTCATGAACTGTAGCTTTTTCGTCTGAAGTCGCCAGAAATGTTCAGATCACTGCCTGTCATTAAAGCCATTGCATTGTAGGACACCTTTCGCTCTTCAGGTGGTTTGCTTTTCTTCTTTTTTCCGTCTTCCTCGTCATAAAGCTGAAGACCTTTCACATAATGCCAGACGCCAATATCCCACAATGTGCCCAATAATAAGCAACCTATTTTTTTTTAGAAAATTCAAAATTTTGCGTTATAAATATTTTGGAGTTAACAAACCAACTATGGGAAGGTTGACCAAATATCGCAACTTTTGCACGTCATAGAGCCAACAGTTTCCTGGTTTGCCGCACGTTTGGCCCCACACAAGACAAGCCATATCTGATATTAGAATTATTTATATTTTTTAACTTTTACTAAAATTAAATTTTTTTACCTATCAAATATCCATACACTATTGGACCGGGGATGAACGCGCAAACGCAGAGAAGAAACTCGGAAAAGCCGATGGCGACGGGTTTGTCCTCAGGGTCGACGCACCTGAAGTGGATTAATGTGTTCCCTGCTTTTCCGGTGGCGCCGAGGAACCTCTGGACGCATTGAATTATGATGAAAAACATGAAGGCGCGACTGCAGTCAACAGAACACGGACCGTCTACAATGGGACCTCCGTCGTCCACACAGCTGCAGTTTGTGAAAATCTTTAAGCATGAAGAGTATTAATTATTTTCCAATATTTCATAAATTGTTTACATCTGAAAAAATCGGGTAGAAATAGAGACCATTTTGCTACTTATATATTTAGAAAAAAGTATTAAGACTTTTAGTTTTTTTTTTATTTATTTTCAAATTAGTTTTAATCAAATAATTTACGTTTAAAACCTCTTTAAGTTTATGATTTGGTGGGATAATGAGGAAGGACTAGAATTTTGTTAAAAAAAAAACAGTAGCTCATATTTTAACATAATTATACTAATTAAATTATTTAAGAAATGAAGCGATCGGGCTTTTCCTCGTTGCAGAAAAATTGTTTTTATTAAAAAACGCGTTTGCTCATGAAATAGGGTCGCAGACCGTGACTGAAACTGGTAGAGCCATTAGTTTTTGAATAAAAACAATTTTCGGGAAAAGCCCGATCGCTTCATTTCCATGATCATCTCCTCGAGTGTCAACTTCTTCAAATAAATTATTTAACTTTATATCTCTATAGAAAATACGGAAGAAATATAATTTAACTTTTCACATGAAGATGTAACAATAATTATTTGCTTTAATTTTGACAGAAATGAAACGTACTTTTAAAGATGAATTTCCTTCGCCCCAGCTTGCATCCACACATCCCGCGTGGCACGGCGAGAAAAATGTGGTCCTTGAAGGAACATGACAAACTGGTGAGTACCTGAGGGAATCAGGGCACGAGCAGTTTGCGTTGCAATCAACCCCTAAATTTAGCCTAAACCAAATTCAAACACTAAATCCTTTGTAATTGATTCAAGACAAGTTTATCACCCACGTTCCATCAGGTTTAGGCGTTCCTTGCAAATTAAAAGTTTCACAGCCAATAAAAGTTATCGCAAGGAAGCCAAAACAGTCGATAAATTCGGCGATCACATTCCATCCGGCGAGGATTCGGGCGTTTGGTTTGAATTTGGAAATAATTAACGCGGACACCATCAGCCCTGCTGCGGTGCACAAAAGTCCGACGGAGCCTGGAAATGTGGAAATTATATCAACCTGCTGATTAATGAAGGAACGTGAGGGTAATTAAAAATTTTAAGCCTCTTAATGACGGCTCAAACTTTGCTGCGAGAGTTATAATTCTTTGAGCGAAATATATAATCACCGCTAATGAGACTGGCCGTGGAGGCGGACTGATGGAACTGCGTCTCCATGTATTTAGGCATGAAGGTCCACTGGCCAATTAGACCAAAGATGAAGCAAACGCTGCTTAGATTGTTGCACACCAACACCCTATTCTTCAGCAGGCGCTTAATCGTTGCTTTGAAATCTGATAAACAATAGTTTCTAGAAATTATATCTTGGAATTGAAAGAAAGCTAAAATATTTCCAAAATGAAAAACAAAACGGTTAAATTAAGATTTCAGTGATATTTAAAATCGTTGAAAACAATAGTTATTAATTATTGGATTTTTATTGAAAGTTTATAAAATAAATATGAAATAAAAAGACATTTTGCAACTAAATATCAGAAGCGAATAAAGCTTTGTGAAATGTTATTATTCAGCCATTTTTTGGAAATGAATACTTTTGTTTCACGATCACCTCTTAAAAATAGTTATGCTTAATAATTATTTTAAATAAAAAAATACCTGCTATGGATTTTTTCGCTTTTGCCTGGGGGTTGTAAGTACGACCGGCCGCAGAGGCAGCGGCCACACTTCGCTGGGCTGCCCTTGGGAGGCTGCGAGGAAACATGGCAACCAGCCCGGCCAAACATAAGCAAACTGTACCAAACGGCGCCCATCCTAAATTGTAAAAAAGTAAAATCTTCACAATACTTAAATAAATAAAATACTTTACCTAACCACCAAGCTCCGACCCAACGAGGGTCTTTTGTGGTAATGACGGGGGTTAAGAGCGGGTCAACGTACATTTCTAATGCGTAAGATGCTAACATATATCCCAGTGTGGGGCCAATCATTCGTAAACACTGACATACAGCTGCAAAATGAATTATAGCAATGACAATGTAAACTATTCATGCATTTTTTTAAATGCTACTTTTTTAAGGATAGCATAACGGTAGAGTATTTTAATTTTAGGGTTTGAATAAGGAATTTGACTGTTATTCTTTCCAATAAATCTTATTAATAAGGATGAAACCACTAAAAAAATAATTAAATTTTAATATATAATAAAAAGACTTCAAATTTATCAATAAAACTAGGGATAAAAACAATTTTTTTTTCTCGAACATAAAATATCTTGCAGAGCTTTATTGAAATAGATTCTGATTGTTTCATGGTGCGTTTGTTTATTTTATTCCACGAGAGATAAAGTTGAGATAAAAAAATATTTTATTTTTTGTATATTGTGTTGTGGTATATACTTGCCGAGAAGGACGGGCGCTTTGTTTTTCTTGGCGTTGTCGTCCAGGTAGGAAATGCCGAGCGTGTAGTAAACGGAACTGCCAATGCCGAGAACAACGTGCGCAGCGAGGAAAATGAAGGCGGAAATGTTGCCCGAACTGGCATTTTCACAATCTTCAAATTCGATGTGGTTGTTTCCGCAGAGGGTCATCTTTGGTCCTGTTGAGTTTGTGTTAATAATTGGAAAGAAATAAAATAGATTCATAATTATTGTTTATGATAAATGGTAAAAAAATATAATTTTTTGTAATTTATATTAGAAAACTACCTGACGTGTCAGATTCGTTGAGAGGTCGAAACTCAGTTCCATACTCCCTTGTGAGTAAAAGGGCATTTTCTCCTGGTCCGTAGAGCCAGTGAGGAATGAGGCGCATATAGCAGGAGATCCCGACCAGGACGGTGCCCCAGGCGACCCAGCGCGTCTTGTGACTTGCCCTGCCCAAGTACGCCGCGGACAAATTGGTGAACATCGACCCGATGTCCCACGAGGAATTAATCAACCCTTAATAAAAAATAAATTAAAACATCACTTTTTCATACAATTTTTAAGTACCCGAGAAGGTGCTGGGTATTTGGAAGCGTTTTTCCATTGTACTGATGGTGCCCACAAAATAGGAGGCCAGAGCAAATTGCGCACAGCCGATCAGGCCGTAGATTAAAACGTAGGCCTTTTTGCTGGCAAATTTTTGCAGCCAGGGAAACCGGAAAAATCCGATTCCGCATTGCGTCTCCTTTTCCAGCAGATCGTCATCAACTGAATTACAAATTGAACATTGACCTTATCTCGAAATCATTTAATTTTGTAATTACTGTGAATTACAAAGACTCATATTAATAGCTATTTTTTTTATCATAGTTTCTTTTTACTGTTAAGCTGATGCCTAAAGGGCCTAATCGAAGTAATCAAATAAAAATAAGTAATACATAACATAAATATTAATTAAGTTTTCTCCAATAAAAGACAATGTGTACAATCCAAAGACAATAAATAATTTTTTTAGTCAATTTATATTATGTCTTGTCAATTTTTTTTAATTGTAAAACAAAAATATAATGCTGGTAGAAATTGAAACTTAAAAAATTTAAATTATGTTAGTTTCGATTATTTTTAAATTAAGTAAATGACAATAAATAAAAGTAATAAAATAAAGAAGTAATATTTTTATTTTTAAATGTTGGAATTTAATTGTAATTGTAACTTTTAATAACTCATTTTGAGTACCTGACTGGTCATTCAACAAATTGTCCTGCGGCGCCGGCTGGTCTAGTTCGGGGTCCGGGCAGACCCTGGACAGGTCAGGGGTGGCCATGGCAAAACTAGATGCGATGGGTCATGGCTGAGAAGCGGCTGGGGCAACCGGCCACGGACTAGATGCAAAGTCAATTATTGTTGCTCGCCAGCGACCCAAGGCCCCTCTACTCTTTTGTTAAGTGACAGTGCCCTATCGTAATTCATCCAGCCACTGATAAATAATTTGCCCTGCTCGCGCCACATTCGCTTGTTATTTGCAAATGTTGCACTCTCGCTATGGTGAATGCGCACAACTGCGCTAACAAGACTGAATTCGCCTTTTGTCAAAGATTGCGATCTGTCGATTCAAGCTCGTACGCGAGCTGCGACACTTAATCCACCTTCTGCTCATCCTCTGTGTACATTTTGTGCCGAGACTGCATTGATTTGTTTGAAGGAAGTGTAACGTTATCTTGAGACTTAATGCGCATCAACCATGATACTTTAAACTATTCAAACAACAATTAATCTTTTTTTCTTTCCCTCTCAAAAATCATAGAATATACGTAGTAATAATTGTTTTCATTTTTTTTTAACTTTGACTTGTTTGAAGCAAAAAAGTTTATAAAGTAAATGTTAAGTTTACTTTGTTTAATTTTTTTCAAGACTTTAAATTTAAAAATAAGTTTTTTTTAAATAAAAATTTGTATTAACTTGTTTTTTTTTTTTCATTTATTAACTTTGAAAAACAAATTTTTGTTTTTATTTTAATCACTAACTTTTAAGCTTCAAGATATAATATTACGTAATAATTCAAGATTAAGATTAAAAATTGGTGGCTAATCCACTTAGAAAACAAAACGTCGTCTGCTTCTTTAATGGAGTTCATTTTTATTTAAATAATTTTTCATTAATTATTCACAAAAATTTCAATTTCTTCACATGCATTATTGATATGAAGCCTAGAAATTCTCTTTAAATCTGAAACAATAACAATCTTTGGTCTACGTATATAATTATTAGTTTTGCGATTGCGACGACACGCGCTGTTCTAGAGGATGTGCATTTTGCAGTTTGCCTATGCCCTCGCGCATTATTTGAGTGAATTATTGCTTACCTTCAGGGAAAATGCACGTGGCAAGTGCGTATTTTATTTGCCAGATAGGTCACTAATGCCTCAGTACACATCTCTCGCAGCGCCTCATCTAATATCTCACTGTCTCCGCTCTGATAGCTGCTGATGCCGCGCAGGCACGTGATTTCTTCAACATCTTTGGTCTGATATCCAGAGTAAATATTAATTTAGTTCCATTTGAAAAAGTGGAACACAGATAAACTATTGTTCCTCTCGGACAGGTGGCCGACCTATTGCGGCATTGATTTGAGAAGTGTGAACAAGGAAAGATTCTCTATCAGTAGCAAGTTTTTCTCTCAGGAACCAAATGCAGTTGATAAGGGGTTGGCAGAGGTTATATAACTTGTTTATTATATGATGCAATATCAAAATTAATTTTTGATGAATTATAATTAGATTGATGAAAATTCGGTTGTTAATTTAGAGAACCAAAGGGAATGAATTTTTATTGTTGAAAAATTGAATTTTTTAAATTCACTGACTAGATATGCAACTGGCACGTTTTTCAAACACAGCGGCACAGTATCATTGCATAATTTTAGTAAAATGTATAATAATTAGTGAATATTACTATTGTTGTTTATTTGTCCTAAATTTATTGATATAACTGACATATCAACACAATTAATGCGTGATATTTGGGTGAGTTTTTTTATTAAATCCTCCATTTATTAATTTATTTCATTTTTTATCAAAAATTTAGTACGAAAATTACTCATTAAAACGCTATAGAAATTAAAGAAATGTAATGATTAAGCAGAGCGATGAATGGAAAGTTTTGATAAACCTTGCTAAAACTTGACGCCACTCTCCCGATCAAAGAAATGTGCACCGTGTCCGCTGGAGCCATTATCAGGGACTAAAATTTAGCAATGAGTACACCTTGCAAAGTGGTGGAAACTGGACCTCGGAACAAACTCTCAACAATTCCACAGTTTGAATATTCGTTTCTTGTAAGTGTTGCACATTTTCACGTTTCATTTCAATTCAAATTACATGTAAAGCAATTATTAATTAATTAATTAGCTTTAATAGAAATAAATAATCTTCATCTGATAAAATGAAAAAAAAAATATTAAAACTTTTACTTTTTACGTTTTTATCATGAACTGACAGTTTTTGAAAATTTTAGCTTAAAAGTTGTGTTAAACAAAGTCAAATTTAGTCCCGAAGCTTGCAAAAATCAGTGTTGGCAGAGGTAAAGGGCGCGCAAGTTGAATAGCTTAGCGTGTACATTGACGGCAGGTGCTCAATAATTTAGTGGTTTGCGTAATTGGTCCTTCTTAAGATGAGTAGGAAGTTGGTTAATAACATTGCCGCTGCCGGTATGAAAGGACAGAGAGTTGTATCGGCGGACGAGTATATCATGCTCTTATTAATGTATCTAATGGTTCCGAGTAATCCTATTAAGACGGAGGCGCCCGCCGGGGGCGGTTTGCGAGCGTCTTTCAAGTCACCGCATTCATCAAGAAAGCTCCGTTTGCCGGACAGGTGCGCGTGCAGCGAGTGTGTGTCTTTGTCTCAAGAAGGTATAAAGCGGTGACAAAGAGCAACCCTTCTTGGCCGACAGATACTTTTGTCCCCGAGACATCAAAGTGTGCAGCGTTAATGATCGCAATTATGAGTTGTGCCAGACGATAGAAATTGGCTATAAGACGGTGCAAGCTTTCAGGCACAAGTGGCTACTTTTGGGGAATTAGAATAATGAGCAGGTGGGCAGCAAAGCCGATTTGAAATTACATCAGTATACATAAATAGATGGAAGTTCTAAAAGCTTAATTATTAAAATTTCCTTTTAATTTTTGTTAGAAAAATCTAATAGTATTATTTGTAATTAGCTCCAAGACCATAGAAAAAATGCATAAAATCATAAAAAATATTATTGCTGCTGAACTAAAATTTTTGTATTTTTCATTTTTTTTTTAATTGTTCCAAAATGAATTTCTTATACTTAATTTTATTCAAGCAAAAAAATTTATTTTCTTCTGATAAAATTTCATCAATATCGTCTATTGGGTCCTAAAGTATCAAAAAATTATCTGTGCCCGACAACGGCTGTCCACGGCTCTCGCAGAGTTTGCATATTGGAGAGAAAAGTGGTTTAGCTGGCCGGTAATACGATAGTGAAGTGATGTGTGTGATTGGCCATAAATTGAAATCATGTGCTATCGACTGACCACAAACATAATTTAGTGCCGGCTCAGCGAAATACGTACACGGAAGAGCAGCGCGCAGAAAGGAAGAAAGGTTATCTGTCTGATGATGCCGTGCACGACGGAAGAGGATTTGGTCGAAAGATGAGAGGATTATATTTATTTCCTATAGCTTGCTCCCGGTCTCAAACTAGACAGACTATTGCTTTTTGATGATATCGCCTGCCGTTATTGGCCGCAGGCTTCTCTCCTTCTTCGTCTCGCAAAGTCGAGAGCAAAAAACGAACAACCACATGAATCTTCAGGCTTACACATTTCCTCTTGTGCAAATAATTTTAAGGTGCAGGTTACAAAACAATCCTTTCAATTTGTAAAATAATTTATATTAGAGAATTATGTTAGAGTTCTATGTATCAAAAAATATAATGCAAAAGACCGTCTTCATATTATCATTTTTTAAAGCATACCAGATTTTTTATCCAAAATATTTTTAATCCAACCTTGATTAACATATCATTTTATCGGAATTTTTTTACAAAATACACCTTACGAGATTCATGTTTCAAGCTTAAAAAATTTAATTCAGGCTAGAAATCATTTAAGTATTATTTATCAATTAAATTTGTTTATTTTTCTTGTCATATCCAGAAATTTCTAATCAATGCTGCATATTTAATCTTTTTTGAGTTATTTTGGCCTTTGTTAATCGCGACGATCACAATTTTCTCTCTGGAGCATGAAAGGCAACTAGGGGAAATCGATAATGTATTCAGACTGCGTGCTGCTTTTAAACCATAACAGGAGAAGAGTGAAAAATTGCATTCCGCTGGGTCGTGTCTTTTTGCTGGGGAAATCCTCAGAGGATGACTGATGAATTAGGAGTGGATTTTCATTAATAATTTTTATACACACATAAGTGGAACCTGAGAAAAAAATTCAACCTGTTGTGAAGTACATCCTTTAAATTATTGATAACAATTCATGCTTTTTATTTTTAAAAGTATTTTACTTACTTAACATGTACTGAACTATATTAATTTCCATTTTTTTAATTAGCAAAATCTATATTCAAATTAGAAATAATAATTATATAAAATGCGGACTAGGAACCTAATTATAATAATGAAAAATTTGATAGTAAAGAAATGGAAATTTTGTACTGAATTTCTTACAAAGTGTTTGATTAACTTTTTTGTTGCACTCAATTGACTTGATATTTAATTTTCATTCTTGTTTTCTGTGAATTTTTCTTACGTCTGGAAAAGTGTTTGTGGAAAGAGTTAGGGCGTGTTCTGGGGCGGTGGAAGGCGTGGTTTTGCGGCAGGGCTGTATTTGTGAGATACGACGGGCAGATCCTGATATCCGAGAGCTGCCGCGGAATTCACGTGTGCTACCTATGCAACCATGTGTCTGGCTTAAACACGGTCATTATGAGGCTGCGGAGCAAGATATCTCGAAAGCCGCTTACACGCCGCCAATAACACGTCTCGCCTCGCCGCTCGCACCTCCGCCAACGGGCCCATTACGCCAATAAATTCGCCAACTGCGAGCAGCCCATTAAAAAGATTAACACCCGCGATTAGCCCAAACAGTTGTCGCCGGCATATGTATGCAAATCGGGCCAAACTTTGGCAAATTATATTGCGCCACAAATTTGGGGATTTGTCTTTGCGGCTACTTTCTTGCCCCTTATTTATTATCGCTCCCTGCAAGACACGGGGGTGTGCGGCGTCTAATCTGGAAATAGACTTTTTCCTGCCGCGCAGCCAAACAAGATACTTCCGCACCGTGTGATTCCGTGTATTAAGGCGAGAGATGTGAAAAGCTGGCTATTACGGACGTGATTTAGAGGTGTGGTGTTGCACACTTATCTGCCACTTTCATGGTCATGATTTATCGAAGTTTTGTTTCGACATTTTCTTCTATTATAAACGATAATTGAGTTAAATATTTTGAGCGGTTGTAGATTGTGTTTGTACAGAGTGGAGTGGTTAATCTAGGAAATCCTAATTAAAACTTGAAATAAATAGTAGAAAATCTAAAACATTAACGGTATATTAATATGCTCCTAATTTTAAATTTCTTGCTGTTATAAGCTTACATTAATTTTTCATAAATTTTTTAATAAAGATTTAATAAAACAATGCAAAATTTACTTGATAAAATAATTGTATGCATTGAGTTTTATTTCAATCTCTCTTTATCAATGTTGTTGATCGTTTTTTTTTTTTTTTTAAATATTTTTCCAACGGTTTCGCATTTGTGAGGCTGGTCTTAAATTTCGCGGTCGAGTAAGTCTCGTCAGTGCGTTTCATCGCGTTAGTTGCTATCTTGCTCAGCACCCAGAATCCCCGCAGCCACCCCTCTTATAAATAATATAATATTTCATCTATCTCGCGTATAATATTTATTATCGTGCATGCGGTGGTGTATGTGCGCGCCGGCGAGATTACTGATCTTTAATCCCCCATTCCCGGCAGCGGAAAATTGAGGCGCTTGCTCGACTCTCTACTTTCTTCTCTGCTCTCTCGGCGAAGATTTACTGCTGCTGAGAATTATTGTGTTACACTCGGTGGCTGTGCGGAAAATTATTATGATGATATATCTAAAAAGCAGAGCACAATCACGCCGTGTATTGCCTGTGTTGCGCCGCCGCCGCCGCCGCCGCCGCCGCTTCTTTTCATTCAAAAGAAATAATACACGCGCGCTGCATCTCCTTAGACGAGCCCGGGCTTATCTTAAAATGTTCAAGAATAACGGCCGGATAAAATATGAGGTGCTTTCATGAATGCTATTAAGATATCCCGCAGCCTGCGGCAATATAAAGAGAAAGAAGGTGTATAATCCTCGCAACAATATTTCATAACACACACATAATAAAGCGGAAAAGTTTACCGCTGCAGCAGCGGCGTGCCAGCGACGAGACGGGAAATTTAAAGGGGTAAATCGGCGGGAGTTTTAGCTTCAAAGTTAAATATGCAGAGACCATAGGGACATTTTATGAAGATTTAAAACACATTGAATTCACCATATAATTAATTCTCACCATTCTCCTTTTGCCGGTCTTTATAATACTTACCCTTGGATTTTTTTTTTTTATAATTCAGAACAGAATACATGATTTATTATCCCAAAATTAATTAAATTGATTTAACTTTGTCTTCATGAAATATATCTTTCACGTCCAAAGTACATCAAACCTTTTATAGATTCCAAATTGTGTATAGTTAAAAGTTGTATAAAACTTCAGAATATCTTGTCTTGATCATTAATGGAGCATATTATTTTTAAAATCAATTGAAAGTATATTTTTCTTTGCATCTTCTTTGCATGTATGATAATTACATTTTTAAACATATTAGTGAATTTTTCTCCAATAAATGTTATGCAAAATAATTAATATTTATTATTCAATAAAAATAAAACAAAAAGATATGTAAACATGATATGATATTAGGGTTTTTAAGAAAATATGAAAAAAAAAAAAAAAAAAAACACCTTAAGTATTTACTTTAAAAAAAAATAAACTATAGTCCTTTACTTAAAAAGTTGGCTGCTTTACACAAGTTTTTATGTGATTGGTTACATACCAATTATTATATGTTTTTTAAATTGATTTTAATGGAGATTTTGTTAAAAAAAAAAAATAAATAAAAAAAAAAATACAAATTTATAGTCAAAGGCGACAAAGCCTTAAAATCTCTCAAATCAAATATACAGGCAATCATTGGCAAACTTGGTGACTCTTATGTGTAAAGAATTATTGATAGTAAATGAATCAATTTCAGTATGAAAATGATTCATTTCAGCTTCATTACAAATAATGTGACCAGCCCTTTCCCATTTTGACAATGAAAATATAAAAATATTTCAAGCATGCTTCAATTTTTTAAATTTTATTATTCAGACTTGAGCATCGGCATCCACATCCTAATCGATTTCTTTCTTATCTCCCACCCGCTCGAGTTTTCCCTCCCGCCACAGATGCAAATAAAAATAATATTCAAAGCAGCTCGGCATTTTTCCGAGTGTGCAAGTGGTATTTACAGAAGTCATCAGTGGATGTTAAGTTATCTCTCTCTCTCTCTCCTAATGCAGTCGGCATAGAGTCGTTGGCATCAGGAAAAAGGTAACAAATCTGCGGCTGCGATGATGAACACGCTCAGATTACACCGCAGCTAACATAGCCTTTTTTATTTCTCCGAGTGCCAAGTGCTGCAGCGACGCGTTTAATTCACATTTAATGTGCCGGCGTCTCTGACCCGCTAAATCATCACACCCTCGATAACACCACGCGACACAGCAAAACGGTCCTTTGCTTGCGCATATCTCTGCATCAGTCAATCGCGATTGAGATAGAAAAGTGATCAGCTCATTTCTTGATGCAGAAATATTTTTAAATGGCCTGATATCATTTTTCATATTATGATCAAAAGGATACACTCTTTCCTAACCAAACTTAAAAATAAAAATCGGAGGTTATATTGCTTTTAAAATAAATTTTATAATAAGTTAAATTATTATTGAAATATATATTTATGAAGCAATGATTCAGATAACTTTCATTCTACATTTTATTGAACTTTTTTTGTAACGAAGTCATTTTTTTAATACAGAAACTGAAAATGTTTTGATAATTAATAGAGGAAATAAAATGTAATGCCTATTAATTGCTACCATATCATTAGTTTAAAGTAATAATTGAGATTTCTTCTATCAATTAAATTCACTGTCTGAAAATCTATTTATTGGCAAAAATGAGAGACTGTAAAAAAAAGAATTTGATATAAAATTTAATTTCCCCAATATTAATTTTAAGTGACTATATCATGCAACAGTAAAAATTTCTTACGAGTCTCTATTTTACAATATTTACATATTTATTTATTTTGCGAAAGTTTACAAATAGAATTAAATGAAAAACCACACCACCGTGTTCCAATTATAAACATTTCTATAAAATTTAAGAGATTGTTTCAGTCTGTTTCTTCCAAAATAATTATTCAATTTAAGCAAGGAGCGTAAATAACATTATTTGCTCAAATATTTTACATGCGAGAAATCCCAGCGGAAAAGAGATCTGCCGACTTCTTGCGTAAAACTACTACGCACTCTGTATCTTATTTATCACCCCAGTCGCCCTTGCTCAGCTGCTTCGGAACATAATTGTAAATAAGAAAGTACATAAATTGCCTAACACACACTTAAGAACAGGTATTGAGCAGCAGAGCAAACTCTTACTCATAATTTCTCGCAATATATTATACACGCTCGTGTGTGTTCTTGCAAGTTAATGCGCACCGCTTTGATAATCCCGATAACACATAAATATCACCTGCCCCCGCCACGGATGCAACCGAGTCGAGCTTCTCGGGCTTAATGAAACGGTGCAGCAGCGAGAGCAGCAAACTTCAGCCCCTACCACCGTCTTGTTTTTCTTCGGGGATATTTCAAAATTCCTTTCCAAACTCGACTGCTAAGAATCAATTTGTTATTGGAAGAACTTCAACTTGCTTGAGCTTGGGCTTCCAACTTTGTACTAAATTATGAGATGGGCCTTTAGGCAAAAACGAAAAAAAAAATAACTGGAGAAGTTGATTATTAAATTTTAGTAATCTCACAATCTGAACTTCTGTACGTTAAAAAATTTTAATTTTCCAATAGATTTGCTTAAAACATCAATTATATCTACTTAATTTTTATTTATTATGTATGTTCATTTATATTGCAAAGAAAATTATTTAATATAGGTAGTCAAAGTTTTTAATCAGTTATATTGATACTAAACTAATAAAGCAAATAAGCAAAAATAATATATTGTTTTAATTAAAATTATAATAATTAAATTTTATACTATTTTTTGTTTATGTATTATTTTTTAATTAACAAACAATTTTAATATATTTAATAAATTAAACAAGTAACTAAGCTTAGCAACTTTAAATAAATAGTAAAACAGTAAAAGACAATTAGAGTGTTGAATGAAACAAAAAGAAGTTTAGTGTAATATGTAGCGTTATTAATGCAATCTATTCTGATCTTACAGCCATAAAAGCTGCAAATGCTCCAATTGTAAATAATTTATGACCCCAAAATTAATTTTAAGCGGGTTATCACTAACATTAAAACTTTTAATATTAAACGTTTTAACGAATGTCTAAAAAAAACATTTTGCGATGATTCGTGGGAGTTCTTAAATTTCACTTTTGTTCCTTTATATGGTGACACGGCACAGGAAGAGGGAGTTGAATAAAGCAAAACGTCATGAAAAGTCAATTCCGACTTTTCATGTTTTATCTTTCTTTCTGCCGAAACGAAATTTCCTGCGGCCGCATTATGTATTGCCGATTTCTTCTCAAGACTCAACGCGACGTGTTTGTCTTTGAATAGAAACACTCGAGAAGAAACCTAATCAATTTCGCGGGCGACGCCGCTGCCGCAAAAAGAAAAAGAGCAAAGAAATCTGTGGTGCCTTTCAAAAAGAGCGAAAGACAGCTCTCGTCTTCTTTTTCTCCTCTCTTTCTCGGTTTCCTGCCCGCGATATCGCGCTTTATTATTATTTCTCTCTGTGGATGGTGCGTGGCATCTTTCGTGTCCGATCAGCCCTTCTCTCTTTCTAGATTTGATACGCACTTTATTGTGGTTATATTTGTGAAGAGCACGGGCGCGCGCTAGCAGGAAATTAAGTTTCAAAAATGAACGTCGCTTTTCGAAAGAGAGAAGGTCTCGCCTGATAAACGCGAAAAGAAAGAAGAAATGAAAGAAGGCATTGACATGTTATGTCGTAAGCGAATTTTCACTTTTGCTCCCAGTCAAGTTTCCTACTCAACTTTTTAAAGACACAAAATAAAAAAGCTCCCATACTTAATGAAATTAATAATAATTTTAAAACTTCTAAATTTTGGCTTCCTAAAGAGTATATTTTCGGTTGAACATATGCCACTGATTTTTGAATGAAAAATATTGAAATCAGATTTAATAAGTAGTGCTTTTTCCGTGCTTTTTTAAAATACCAGTATTAAAGACCTAAAATTATAAATTTGGATATATTATTTTTATTGGAAGAAAATTTATAAAAAAAAATTCAAAATTTTACTTTTCATTAATAAATGCGTCTCATAAAAGATGTTATGTTATTTAGTGTGTAAAAATTAGCCTTGCTGATTGTAGCAGCTGTCAAGTCCATCCAAATAACGCTGAGGGGGTGTATTGCTGCAACCATTAGGCCCCAAAAGGTGAATGTAAGCAAAGTCTCTGCACTCGCCATAAACGCCATTGCCATTACAGTCCTGAAAAATATTTAAATATAGAATTAATACCTTCCAAAATAATTTAAAAAGTGAATTTATTATTTACTTATTTATTTTATGCATTATGATACTTTTTTAATATTTTCCTATTATCAGACCTGATTGTATCTCCACATGTAGTTTTGGACTGTGGACGCAGCGCAATAATAATCCAACACACACCGTTTGTAATCTGCAGATTACCACAAAATCAAAGTTGAAATTAAAAAAAAAAAAACATTTACTGATTAGAAACATACCACTGTTGTCCAAGTTATTGACAGCACTTGCATCATTATAATAAGGCATTTGAATGCCAAAAGGGCCACACTGGTTGCCTGAGCAGCTTTTGCCGTAGTCCATTAACTTTTTGATGCAGCGCAAACACGCCTGCTGCACAATTCCGTAGCGCCCGGCTGGCAACCCTTGAAATTTAAAAGACAATTTTAATTTTGAGCCGACTTTTTGATGAATTTCTTACATTGGTTTATGTCTGTTGGGTCTGTAATCGGAGTATCCAGAGCAGTATCTGTTTGAAAAAATTTATTAATTTCCGGAATTTATAAATTTCAAATTTTCAACGAACTTCTTTTGTGTCGATGCAAAACTGCAGACGTTTCACCTGCAAAAGGAAGCATAGAATTTACAAAGTAAGCAAGCTATATTGAAATTTTAAAAGATTTTTTTACTTCTGAAACTGCGTAAAATGTAAATCTAAATTTCTAATTTTCCTCTCAAATTTTTAAGTTTTTATGTGTAGACAACAGAGAACTTGTTGTGAGAAAGAAATAAATTGTAATTTATACATTATTTTTAAGCATATTTCCGGAAACGCAAGAGAGCTATTCATTAACTGAACAGAACAGGTCATTTCAAGGTTGAATGTTAGCTTCTGCTCACTACTTATTAATCTTAAAATTAATAGCAAAAAAACCCTCTGAATCTCAATTCCTGCGTAAGATTTTTTTATTTTAACGGAAAAGTAAACATTTCCAGAATTTCCACAACTTGGGTATAGATAAAAATTTAAAATATTAAACAAAATATTCTCGTAAAATTGTTAGTGTTTTAAAAAAGCTAAAATAATCTGGTACAGAATTAAAAATTTACCTCCAGATATTGATGATGCTAAAATGATAAATAATAGGACACTGACACATTTGCGAATCGAGAAGTTCTTGGACTTTTTAAAAGTTTTAAACATCGCGTGAATTTACGGAGACCAACACCTTTTGAAGGCAAGGAAGCAACTGACTGGCCTCTAAAAGCGCTACAAAAATAATACCGTTCTGGGTTCTGCTTTGTGAGTGGGGATAAGGCAAGAAACACGTTTGTCGCCTGCGGTTAAAAAAAAGCAATACACGTCGTTACTCAGCATCTTTTAGATTTTAACATTATGTAAAACTAAAATTTTGATTAGAAATATCGGACATTTTAATCAGAAATGAACAATTGATGAGTATTCTATTCATATCTTTAATTTTTTTAGATATAAGATTAAATTGATGCAACTAAAATATTCTTTGTATTTTCTCTTATAGTAAAAACAGATTAACAGCAGTCAGCAGTGAAGAATATTTTATAATAATAAATAGTTACGACGGAGAGAAAACGATAATATAAAAAAACTGCTGCTAAAACTTGGAAATTATTTCCAAATGATCACGCTTAAATTATAAGCTATAGAACTAGAACCAGGAATAATGAATTGTGTACTTCAGTTTGGTAAAAGCTTCATTACATTTGGCTGACTTGGTTCTGGAAATAGTTAACTCCCTGCAAGGTGTAAGTATCAAATAATGGTCTTAACGATTGTGTTGGCGATCTATGTTTTCAATGCGATTGTACTAAACTGAAGGGTCAGAACAAATTCACACCGACCGGTTTCGAATAATATCAGAGGAAACAAAACGAGTAAGTGCTGAAGGGAGGGTATTAGGTGAACAAATACAAGCGGTGGTTTTCCTACGAAAGGTCGAGAATGCCAAAGCAGCTTTCACGGAAAATAATTAGCAGAATAAAAAATCTCTGGCGCTGCCAAAAGTTTCTTTCATCTCTCTGCAGCGCCGTTTCATTTATCTCGGCGGGCATTTTTCCCAGCGCAGAGAGAGAAAATACGAAAGGAGGATTGTATAATAAACACGCAGAAGCACCTCGCAGAAAAGGAGCAAAAAGAAAGAAAGGTGGAGGATTTTACGATTTTTCTGCATGGGGTTGCGGCCGCTTTTCCGTAGAGCAGATATGAGTGGCGGAAAGGGAAGAAGAAGAAGTTAAAAAAGCCGACTCTCTCATTTAGACGTTAGGTACAGTAGAAAAGCGGGAGAGAAAAAATGACAAAAAGTTTCTTTTTAATTGGAAAAATCGGATTACATTCATTATCCTAAAGAAAGTTGAAGGGGCAATATTACATAATGCGGCTTATTGAAAGGGGTGCCGGCGGTTGAGTTGGAGGAGGCGCTTGCTAGCTTTGTTGTTGTGCCCGCGCCGGTTTAAGAAAACATTATGCGTAATACCCGGGGTTATATCAAAGGGCCTGCTGCACCTTCCTTCATCTTTCAAAGCACCTTAACAAGCATCTCGTCTCACGGATTTCAGACGTGAGACTGGAATCTCTCTCTCTCTTTGCCGACAGCCCTTGATATTGTATTATACGATTCTTTTCATAACTCGCGGCCTCCGTAAATCCTTGCAAATTGGCAAACTTGACTGTCAGCCGGCAGTGCTGAGACTGCTGAGCCTTTAGACGTTCAAAAGACGATGCAGAAATGAAGCCAACCCAATCATAATTGATAAAACCAGTTATAATCGAAGTAACAGAAGATATCTGCCTTAAAACTTTGATAATGATTTTTCATAAATAACTTATTTCCAATTTTTATAAAATTCTACAAGAAAATAGTGTAGTAATGAATTAATGAAAAATTATTATCACACAACAATTTAAATTTCTTTATCTTAGCACGCTTGGAAAAATTTATTTTATCACTATATATTGCTCAATAATATAATTTTTTAACGACACTTGAAATAAAAACTGAACATGATAGTAAATGTATATATACGTAAAAAATAAATAATAAAAAAAAATTGAAATACTCCTTTGTTAAAATTAAGTTTTAATTTTATATATATTATTAATTATTTTTTTAAGTAAAATAAAATTATATATATATGTATTTTTTGATAGACTATTTTCATTTGCAAAAGTGCATAAAATACATAAAACTACTTCTACTTCTATCACAAATTGGATAAATATTTAGCTATTATCATTTTTATTGAGACTGAAATATTTCAATCATAGTTGTGGGTCGTGGGCATTGTTCTATATTGATATTTGTCATATTTATAAATTAAATTATGTTATTTATAACGATTTATAACATAGAAAAAAACAGCGTAATAACTTCTTTTTAAAATTAAATAGAGCTTTAATAATTATTATAGAAATTAGCTTTCGTAAATTTTTCTCAAAAGCTATACTGCTTGGTACAAAATACCGTGGTATTTGTTTTCTTAAGAAATTTTTTACTCTTAGCTGTTAGTTTAGTTTGATTTTTTTCAACTGATTGGAAATAAATGTGCAAACGTAAAGATATAAACCACGTTAATATATTTCTGAACTTTTGTATAAATAATAGAACTTTTGTCTACATAGACAATACTAAAATTTAGAACAATAATCACTTGAGAGTCATGAGACATTAAAAATTTCTTAATTTAAAATTTCTCCAACGGATTCAAGGGGTGCTTATCAGGATAAAAGCATGCGAAATGATTAATTTTTCATTCTGCGACGGAGGCGTTTTTCCCTAACGCAAGCCGCAGATAATTCGGTCTGATATTATTTTGCCGGTTGTGTGTGCGTTTAACAAGTTATTTATTATACAATTTTTGCGGCGGCAAACAGGAAATTCAAGGAATGAGATATCTTCTTTGCACGTGGAGCGTGCGTTGCGGCGCAGCGTGTACTTGATGCCCACATTAGAGAAGCGCCGCGTAATTCCATCAGATTGCTCTTCTGTTAAACACCCCTGCCTTCCAGCTCTCGCAGACCCCATTTTTTCTTGCCGCCCGCTTATTCTTATAACAATCTAGCTCAATCTTTTTCTTCATTTCTCTAATCCCCGGCCGGCGTGCGCGCAGGAGATGACGTAATTAAGATTGGCGCGCCGGCTATGATGACTTTTCCACTCGGCGACTTTTAATTTTCTAAGCCTCCTCAGCATTTTGCTGCTCTCTAATCCCCTACTCGGCGGAAAAATAAGAGAGGACTTTGCCAAAAATAACTAAGATGCGCTGCCCTTCGAAAGCCATGACATGACTTTGTTCTGCTTCAGCGATAAAATTGTCAGAAAAAAAAACGAATTGAGCAATTCAAGCATGTTCTATTTTAAACACAAAGAGAACCCGGCTTCAATTTGTTTCCTTAAAACTTAATTTGAAAATTAGGTAATTTTCCTTTTTGATTTTAATAATTTTTTTATTCTTTTTAGCAGTGTTATTTCTTTAAAGTATTTTATATCCTTTTATTCAAATATTTAAAAAAGGTTTTTTTCTATAATTTTTTTTTTTAATTGTATAGATAAATTTGTTGTTAGGTTATTTTTTTTTTCAAATATATTGAATGAATCATAAATCATGGTAATATTTTTGAGGCTAAATTTCACATTCTGGTTGCTCTATTTCCTCCCTAGTTCAAGCGGAACGGCGCACCCCGTGGCACGTAGGAGGCATTAGGGCAGGAAAAGCGGTGGGCCTCCCGCTTTTCTCCTTCTCTCGCCGGAGCACGACCATTTAATACTGATTAGCTTTTTAAGGTCGTTTTTATTTCCACGCAGCGGCGTCTTTTCCGCCCCCCAGCTTCATCTTATTTTAATAGCTCCTTTTCACTTAATCTGGCTTAACTTTTTATTTTGCTCGTTTCCCTGCGCGCTCTGCTTAATATAAAATAAAATATCAACGAGAGAAGAAGTGCCACCATATAATAATCATCATCTTTGCTCGAGCTCAACTACACGCAGCGGGAAATAATTTCGTCCTGCGTCTTTTTACTTTTAAGTCCCTCGCAAAATCCTTTCTCAGGCTCATTATTCGGGTCGCGAATAAAGATGAGAGAGAAAAAAAGAGTTGCCCTTTACAGGGATTTGCCGTTGCAGAATAATTAATGATAAGGTTTAAATGCAGAAAAGTTTTATTGTTATTTAAAAATAGAGTAAATAAATTAAAAATAACATAAAAGTATATTAAATATTAAAGCCTCAAAAATCAAAATACGATGTTTTTTTTAATATTTTGTTTAAATGGTAAATTGAAATTTTATGAGGGAAAAAAACGCTGATATTTTATAAATATGTTAAACTGTGAGTCTGTGATTTTTTATTTTTCACTTAAAAATTTATTAACGTGTTCATGTAGTTATTGATGATATTCTAAATGGTCATGAAAAATTGATTTATCATAATTTTTTAATTGTATTATTTTATATTGAAATCTTTTTTCAATTGCAATTTTACTTAAGAATAGCAAAAATATAATAGTACAAACCTCTCGGTGTTTATCCTTAAAAAGCAGATCTGCAAGAAGGATCCATCATAAAAATGGACCAGCTCAAGTTTTTTTGGAACCGTTTTGTAAGTAATCTCGTATCTTTTGTCGCAGAGACTGAAAAGAGCGAGCAAGAGTGGCGTTGTGTATTTATTTAATACTCGATTGCAGCGAGTAAGACCTCTGAAAAATGGGTATCTCGTGTTTGTACTGCATAAGCCCTATCATAATTCCTTTCGGCCTTGGCGATCTATTGTTAGGGATTATTTGCAAAGAGCTTTATGTGCTACTCCCTCGTTCTCGGCACGGCATGGACATCTCTACTCGCGCAGTCAGTCAGTCTGCTGCTTCTTTATGGCTCAAGGAGAGAAAAGCGGAGCGCCGTTTCGCGATCTTGGCCGCCGCCGCCGCCTCTTTTCACTCATAGCTCCTCTCATCCATCAGAAGTCGCCAAAGCCTACTCCAAAATACTTATAAACAATAATGCCTGCTGCTGCTGCTGCTGCTTCTCGTGAGCTCCTTCGTATTTTTATGGCAAATCCTCGCCCCCGTTCGCCACCCTGCCCTTTCCCGCAGACACGAGAGAGAAAGAGCAGCTCGCGGAATCATCATAATTCAGCCCCTAATGGCGGCAATAAAATTAAATTGCGAGATTTCGCCCCCTTGAAATGAAAATCTAGCTCAAGTGATTTTAAAGCAATGCTACTCAAAAGAGCCACCGAAACAGCAAAGTTAATAGAAGATTAAATTTGCAGAAGGTTGGAATAAAGCATAAAAATTTTCGTCATAAAAAATTATCTACTTTCAAAATTAAAGTATCGAGTGTTTTCAATTGGAATTGATTAAATTAATTTATATTCGTTACAGTTTGTTGTAAAAATAAAATAATTTTAAAATTTTAATCCTAATGTATGATCGATTCAATTTTTGTTACTGGCAGACTGGCAATGAGCATTAATTAAGCATTATAATTTAAAATATGGTTTAAATTTAAAAAATTTATGCTCAAATTAAACAAATAAAAATTATCAGTTACTTAATATGTAAAAAATTTCAAAACAAAAATTAAAAATTTATTAATGTTTTGCAAATAAAAAATACTAAATTATATTTAAATTTTAAAAAATGCTTACAAATATTTATTTGTTAAAAAAATTCACTTGAAAATCTAAAAACGTACACCCAAATTATGTAAGGTATATAATTGTTTATGTTTTTTGTTCACTCCCTCAATGTTAATTATGAACTTGACTCAATAATACATATTATAAGTAAATAGAAACTTGTATCTAGAGGTGCTATAACGTTGCCATATTGCCCATAAAGATTTTAACGATGTTAATAATATATGCTAGTGGTATTTATGCAACCGGTGTCACTTGAAAGTGACGCAGGTTGCCTGTAAAATTCAAGGAAATCATGTTCTGCAGAAAGTAATCTCGAGCGGCGCACTTGAAACGTAGCGAATGATCCAGCACGTGGCTGAAAAGAAGAAAGGTTCTTCTTGATCCCTTGATAATGATGGCACTCGAGTGCTAAACCTTCTGCTGTTAGCATAGGCTAAGGATAATATTTGCGTCGCTAGCTGGAACAATGGCACAAAGGCACGCGCTAACTCTTTGCCGCGCCTTGCTTTCTCTCTTTCTTCCTTTCTTATATTCTCGGCCGGGCGATGAGCAAGATTAAACAAAGACGTGCGTTCGCTCGGGGCTTGAGCAAATAATAATTCTCGTCGTAAAGCCATAACCCATTAATTACACCCGCCCACCAGAGCAATTGCGAGCCAATAAAAATTTGCTGGATGGGATTTTCCGGCTTAAAGATATGATGGGTGGTCGGTCTGTCTCTCGGTGCAGTGAGACGAACGCGACCCCAACGGCATCAACAGCAGCACCAACGGCTCTTTTAATTACTGCAAACATTGATTTATATCTTTGCTCAGGCGTTTTATGCCGCGTTACGCCTGCCGGCAATAAATTCTCTCATTATTTGACCCGTGCGAGAACTCGAGCTCCCAGACGTCGCTCCTAATCAGAAACGCAGCCCGCAAGAGCTCATGATGTACACGAGAAGCTGGTTTCCGCAAAATTTTCCATTTAAAAAGAAATATTTCCTAAAACTTCTTGAACGGTGCAAAATGTTATTATAGTTTTGTAATTTGTAAGATAAAGATTGCAATATTTTATTTAAAATATCCTAAATTATGATTGTTGATTTTTATTTCAGAAAAGATTTTCATGCTCAACCTGAATTTTAAGTTTAAAGTTGGATCTGATAAAATGAATGATTGAAAAAATTAGAAAAAAAAATTAAACTTTTTTGGTGTAGTCTTATTTTTTATTGTTGATATACATTCTTTTCATTATTTTTTCTTTACATTTAACGTATGTGCACACAGCTATAACATTAAGGAAAACAACTTGAGGTCGAAACTTATAATAGCAAACAACTGGAACGGTGGAGAAAGAAACCAATTGTATAATAAAACTCAATCAATCGGCGCAATAAAAACAGAACAATTTTTTAAAACAGGAATCTTCTGGAACGCATTTCATCCAAACTAATCATATTTATATAAGAACCTACATAATATCACAATTATAAATTAATTATCTTCTGTGACTTACTTTGAACATGAACTTTTTAAAAATCAACCTATGTGTATTTCAAGCAATAAATTTTTGCTAAAAAAGTGAGGAAAGATCATTGTGTAATTTTCTTAAATAACCCACAATTGCGTCACAAAATAAGTAGCTCGCTTGAATATCAATGTGCTTGAAGTGTCTTTTGTATTTCAATAATGGGTGAGTATATGTACAAGCGGTTCGGTTTGTTTTATTATTTTATTGTATGCATATCTCTCGTCAAGTTTTATTATTTTCAATATTGTAATATATATTTATACGCGACCTATATTTGATTTCAATAACATGGAACGGTTCGACAGAGATCTATATTCGCAATAATTACGTGTGTGTTTATGTTCCACAACAAGTATTTTCATTTTAAAGTCTAACAACAAGTTTTGTAATTTTAAATTATGCCATTTTTTGCTTGCCTGTGTTAATTTCGCTCCTTATTGTTGACAAGCCAGGCAAGATTTTTACAACCATACATTGAGGATTTTTTCCCATTGTCACAACCTATACATTCAGATAACCTTAAGTAGAAGCAAGAATAGTAATCAGCCCACTTTGGAACTTCACAACAACAGAACAAGGATCGCATTTCCTTGCTTTAAATTGGTTCTTCATTCTACAGGCAGAGGGAAAAGTCTGCAGAAAGCTTGGAATGGATGAGTTCCAAATCTCACTCCAGCACGGGCATTTTGTAGAATCGCAAGCAGCAAAAATCAGAAGTGAATCATATATAAATGTTGAGCAGGACTACAGGGACATCTTGAGCCTCTTGCACTTGGCCCTCCGGTTCTTGAACCAAAACTGCACATTTTTGGGCTCAAGCTTGGGGAATTTCTGCCTGTAGGGCATCCTATTGAGCTCCTCTGTGTACTTGAGGATCAGGTTGTGGGAGGGGTGGGTGTTCAGACTGAACCACTGCTCCAACCTGGGCACCTCCGTCACAGGGTCAATGAAGGTTCGGTTGCGCTTTCGGCGGTCGTCGGCCGAGGCAGCCGCCGCCAGTTGGGCGGCAGCTGCGGCGGCGGCCAAATTGAGGCCGGCGGCCGCTGACTGGACGTGTTGTTGGAGGCCAGGGATGTAGTGGCTCATGTACATGATGCTGTGGCTGAACAGGTTGTTGTTGGGCACCAGTGGAAATCCGCGGTCAAGTGGTGTCCCTGGTGTTCTTGGGACCAAAGCTCCCGGGCCAAAATCCGAGTTCGGAGTGGTGGGGCGGTGAATCTCCTCCTCGATGGTGGGGGATGAGGGGTTGAGACTGCTGGGGGCGGTGTTTGGTCGTGGGGACATTGAACTTGGGGGTCTTTCCTCGTCTTCGGACATCTCCTCCTTGAAGGAGGTTTCCATCTTGTTTTCCTTCTTGATGTCTTTGTCATCCTCGTCATTTGTGACCTCCTTGCAGGTGAGTTGGAGGGGCTCGCTGGAGGGTGGTTCCAAGTGGGCCTGGTGGGGACTGGCCGAGTTTCGTGAAGGGGTGGGGTTGGAGGAGTCATCTTCCTCCAGGTCTTCGTCATCGCTCTCCTCCTCGTCCTCTCGACCTCGGGTCAGGTGACTCAGCAGCGAGTTCCGGCTACTGGTCACCAACGAGTAAGGGGAGGTTTGCATAGGGTGCTGCGACCTACGCATGTCCCCGTCGTCTCCGTCCGAGAGGGAGCCATCGTTGTGGCTGAGGGGTGACTTAAGCAGGGGCATTCCCCCTCCCATGTGCATGTGGTGGTTGGGGTTAAGTCCGGCGCCCAAGGGGAGGGGGCCGTTGCTGTAGCCGTTCAGGGTCAGACGCATTTCGGCGCGTTTCTGGGCGGCGCGCGCGTTTTTGAACCAGTAGACGACGTTGTTGACATCCAAGGGTTTGCGGCCGCGACGTGATTCGAGGGCATTTAGCTCTTTCACATATTGTTGAATCTAAAACAAAACCAGACAGTGATGTTAAAAATTGAAGAAATGATTTGAATGATGACTGTTCAATTTTGAAACTTAAATTTTTTTATTTCGGCGAATTTTCATTGATGTTAAACAATTTTTTTAGAAACGTAAGTTTTATTAGCCTGTAGCTAAAAATGACAAGAAAAGATTTAAAGTTTCATTATTAATTGAATTAAAAATGTCGCCATTTTTCCTCTCAACGTTTTCGTAATTAAATTATTTAAATATATTAATTTATATGCTATATTGCGACATATTAAAGATAGGAATTGACTTGCGGTACACCAACAAGCTTTACTAAAACTAAACGCAATTAAAGAATATCTTTGTTTAAATTTTAATTGTTAGGCTTTTTTAAATCTATTAAATAATAAAAAACGAATTATTGATGCACTTATTATTTTTGGCATATACCATGAAATTTGGATATTGTTTTGCAACAATAAGCAATGAAAAAAACGATGTAGATTAAAATCTCCATTTTCCTTCCGCTCATTGAAATTTTTATTGCGTGCTCTAAACCAGATGAGTGTTATCCTAATCTACAGGATGCGGGTCGTGCGTTAAGCTCACCTGGTGCCTGCTGGGGTGTTGATTCTCGGCGAACCACCTCTGCAGCTTGGGCAGTTCCAGCTCTGGATCGAAGCTGGTGCGCATTCGCGTCTTTTGCGTTGGATACTGGCTTTGCACGGTCTGCAACAGAGAGTTTATGCAACCGGATTAGTCGGTGTGATCGGCGTATTGCCTACATTGAATTTTAGGCTTAAAAAGACGTGTTAAAGAATAGAGTTGTGTTTTAATTTTAATTTATTAATATGAAAAATTACAAGGTCACTCTTGATAAATTGATTTTTGTAAAATTTTACCTTTTAGTTACACGATTTAAATAAATTAACAATCAATTTTTTTTTATTTAGTTAGTATTAGTAACTGACCTGCAGTGCTGGGTGCATGTGGTCCGGCATGCCTGGGTGTTGGGCTAATGAATCCAACTTTGATGGCGAGTGTGGCAGTCTGCGGTGATCCACAAAATGAGGGGTCGGCCTCGGAATGGAGGCCATTGAAGGTGGATGGCCCAGAAGAGATGGAGAAGGATGCGGAGGTTGAGGGACTGCAGGGGCACCGCCCAAGATGGGCATCGAGCCCGGAGGTTGCTGGTGCATGGCCAGCCACTGGTCAAAACGACGCTTCACCTCTTCACTGGGTTCCATGGATGGGCTCTGGCCACGGCAAATTTGGGACAGGAAACTCTGAAACCAGGCAGAAACCTAAATTGAATTAATCTGCAAATTTTAAAGGCTGGGAGAAATAATTTTTTATTAATTCTGTTTAATTTTAATTTTTGTGTGCACAATTTTATGAAAGTCTTAATTAAGCTAATTTTAAAATTTAAATTTTCCATCTATTGATCTAATTAAAATTAAAAATATATCACCATAGATACCATTAGGCTGATTTTAGAAGACGAGACTTGCATTTTGCTCGATAGGGTAAAATAAGCTTTTTTTTTAAATATTTTTTATTGCGCAGTTATAATTATTTATTTTGTCTCGATGACTAGGAACTTTTGCAACATCTACGCAGCTTCTTTCTCAAATTAGATCAACCTGCTTTTATCAGCTCTGTCGCTTCTGATTGCCCGTGGGCTTACACATCAGTATTCTGTTTGCTCTCGCGAAGGTAAATACGGCCGGCATTAGCAATTTATAATGCCCGCGATCGTTTTGACGTGGCCAAAGACTGCGTGCTTGCGCGTGTCTTACGAGAAAGGCTGCGCTCTTGTGCCGAGGCGGCGGTGATAAGGGATGAGCATTTTATGGCCGCGTGATAATAAAATTTATACCCCGCGCGCGCGGCCTAAACAGTAGCAGGTGACACTGTCGCGGAGTGCATGTGTAATTAGGTGACGTCAATGGTGATGGGAATCAAAAAGCGCAGGAGCTCTCTCGCTGATTTACAAACGCTCTCAGAGTCAACATTTTCATAATCGCCGGTTGCACCAAATATATGCTATATAAGAATTTTATTGCTCAAACGCATGAAATTTTGCACTATTTTTAAACTATTTTGACTAGAATTTTTCCGTTCTCGAATAAAATTCACACACAAAAAGTGTTTATTATGGCTGAGGAAAATTATAAAAAGTTTTGCCATGAATTCAATTGGGAAGAAATTAAAAAAAAATTAAAAAAAAATGTAAGGGATAAACAATTAAAAAAAAAAAAAAAAAATAGAGTTCTATATTTTAAAATTAAATGTTTATATTAATTTTAAAATAACTAACTTATTTCTGATGTAACTGTATAAAGTATTTCATTGTTGTTGTTTTTTTTTTTTTTAAATGCAATTTTCAGCAAGTAAAAGAATCTGTTTATTAAAAAAGTAGATTATTTGGGATACAAACTGGTGCTTTGTAAAAATAAGAGTTTATGTAAGTTTCCTTTTAATAATAATAATAATAAACGTCATTCAGTTATATTTTCCCAACTTATTACTTTGGTACAAAAATTGAACAATTCTTGAGTGGGCCATAAAGTACCAAAGTAACGACTCCTTCTATACGCCAGACACGCGAGTATTATCTCATCCAGACAAATTCTCGCCCGCAGCCTCCCTCGAATATTAATCAAGCCGTGTTCTATTCTAATTACCATATCGATCGCGCAAAGTCACTCTCTTCTCTTTCCAACTTCTGGGCCGAGCTCTGAATTGGCAGAAAATTCCCCAAAAATGAATAATTAAGGCAGGATAATGCGCGAGGCGTGATTTAGTAACAAAAGGCTGTATATCATCATAACGCGCGCGAGCGCCCGTTAAACCCCCTTTAGCTGCAAAGTCTTAAGACAGGCTAAAATATAGCGCGCGTGTGTAACCCCCTTCTTGATGGTACGCGCGTCTTTCTCTCTCTTAATGGAGCAGATAAGTAAAACAGCAGCACCTACCTACCTACCTATCACATTATATTATGATATGTGCTGCAGTATATAACTTTTTTATTGGCTTTAAGTCTATGATTCTTCTGTAATGAAGTTGAGAAATTCTAGTTAAGCCCCTCCATATACAAGCAACACGCGGATTTATTTACCTTATGAAAACGCCCGGGATAACAATATGATATATTGCCCCCGCAAGATATTGTCTACCCGTCTTACTCGCCTATCTCGGAATACATTCATACGTGCACAGACGACGACGTGTGGGAGAACAATGCACGCGCGCTGCGTGTAATGAATGGAGGGCAATATATACGGACAGCAGCCGCGAGGATATGAGAAATGTTTAGAGATATATCAGGATTATTCAATTGACTCGCAAAGTTTTTAACTAAAAATTTAATTTTTAAACACCAATTTTTTTATTACATGAATTAAAAAAAAAACTGATCAAAATTTATTAGAAAATAAGTATTGACGGGAAATATTAAATTACTTAACAAAGGATTGCCCTCGTTATAATTTGCATTCCTTTTTTTAATAAAATCAATTAAATTAATTAGTATTAGATTAATTACTTCAATCAATACATTTTATGACGCGTTCTAAATTCTGAATAGGAAAGTGTAGTTTTGAATGAGGCAGTTTTTAGTTTGCTTTGTGGAAAGGTTTTATTAATATATCTTTTGAATTAGAACTTTGCACCAAGGGCATTAAATTTTTTTTTTTTTTTTATTGGAAAAAGATATTTATTGTTTAATCATATCATTAAACTAATTTTTCCCTTGTGATCATACTTAATTTTTAAAAGTGTTTATTTTATGTATAAGTGAGATCAAGATAGGGAAAGTGAAAATTGCTCATTTAATCTATAAAACCTTGTGTTAGAATTTAATTTTGGATTTATCACTCTTTTGAAGATTCGTAAAATTTTCTTAAAATACAACCAAACTTATAATGAGAAAATTTAAAAGTAATCATGTATGATGTATGAATGTACGGTACCACTGCAAGAAGAAAGATATTTGTCAACCAAAGATTAAATATGGTGGTTTAATACCATAAAATATATTATTGTTTTTTCAAGACATGTAATAGCCTACTTATAACTAATAATATCTTAAATGAAATTATTATTTGATAAAATATTATTGTTATTAGCAAATAAATTTTAATCATTATTAGCAAAATTTTATGCTATTAATATTATAAACTAAATTTTATTAAACATTTATTAAAATTTGAATAATTAAATATTTTTATAACCTTATTAAAATTGACAAATAAAAAATGATTTACTTGTTATCATTCCCTTTCTTCGGCATACAATAGCAACAGTGTGATAGTTTATCGTATGAAAATCGTGCCTGTCCGACAAGCGGCTTTCGCGATTTCCTACCCGCGGCATCGACTAATGGATCGGCATGACTTTCTGACAGCGGTGGGCCCAAGCTCAAATTAAATCGCCGATAAGCACTCTTTAAAATACGTACCAGCATTCATTAGACGGGCGAAGAAATTCGGTATAAGTAATCTGTATTTCAGATAAGGTCGCGAGCGGAAAGTTTCCCCGCATAATAATTAAATGGCTTCACTGTACTAAATGTATACTGATATACGAGCCAAGTTGGTGCCGTTAAATTTTTTCCTCGGCCCATAAAGTGTCCGCGTAATGAAGACGCAAACGCTAATTTCGACTTTTATTCTAAAATTTTTGCGGAATTTTATTTGTAAATGAATGGATTTTTCCGTGCGCTTGATACAAAGTAAAAAAAAGGGAGCAGAGGAGAGCAGAAAGATCGTTCGCCGGCAGTTTTACGGCCTTATCACTTTTTTCTTTGTTACTTGTTTTGTTCTGCGCTTGCCGAGCATATAATAAAATCTAATCTGCGTGATGGATGAGAAATGCGCGCCAACTCTGACATTTAAGAGAATAAATATGTCCCGCTTGCGCTCACTGCATCTTGTACGCATAATATACGTCATCTAATTTGAGAGAAAATCAAAACTTTTCCCTCCGAGATTATCAGATTGGAAAGATTGATGCATAATATTCCAAATAAATATAACAATGTCAACCAAGTTATGGTGACGAACAGTAAGGCGATTGTTATAAAATTGAAACAGTTCAATTATATGAAGCTCCTCAAGACGCAAGAGAAAATGTGTGATGCTTTATGATTTTAATCTAGAGATAAAAAAATTTATTTAAATATATAAAAAGCTTGTGATAATTAGTGTTCTTAATTTTATTTTTCCAGTAATAAAGGAATAATTTTTACTCGTAGCAGATTTTTTAGGAGAGGTTTATTTTGTACTTTTGGTGTATGCTAATTGTTTTTCAAATATTTCTATAGTTAATGAGCCTGCATAGGTTGTTATTTTTTTCTGTGGAGCTGAGAGCAAAATTTTTAATTACTCTTGCTAGATTTTACGAGGAAAAGCATGAATAGATTGCAGATAATTTTCAAACGGAAAATAATTCACCAGAAACCCGTTATTGTAGGATTGAGATACTCTTTTGAATCGCATGTTTCTATAGGTTTTCAAGTGACTTTCTGAAAAATCAGTGATCATTACATAGAAAAAAAATCATTTTTTTTCGTTATATTGTCAAATTTTCATCGATGATTTTGAAAGCCTTTGAGAGGAGGAGATTAAAATTATTACTGAAGAATTTGCAAGTCTATAATTGAATGAAAGTTTCTGAGCTCAAAATGGTCCCGAATCACATTTTTTTAATGTATATTTTTTTTTTATTTGGGTATGTATTTTGCACTATAGGATGCATTAAAATTGATAAATATTTTCGAAGGAATTCAAATTTTAATTCAAGAAAATTGTTAGAATATCTCTTATCTAGCGAATTTTCTCATAATCTCTGGTGATAATTTTTCAGGAGCTCCTTTTCTTGCAAAGCTGTGTTAGAATATTACAACAACTTGGTTAACTCGTTTGCAGCTCTTACGCTTAAACAAGCAATCCCGCTACCTAAGCCGACGGCGCTGAGTTTAAGTCTCGGCACATTTCACGCCTGTTCGGTTTGGCAAACTGATTGTAATTCCCATGATTCGGTACAAGAGCGCAGTTAATTCGGCACACGCAGCCGACAGAATTAAAGTAAGATAATGACGAGAGCAGAGAAAAGTAGCGGAGTCGAAGAAGAAGAAGTTTAAGTCGACGTGGAGGAAGAAGAAGCTGGTAACCTCGGCGGCTGCCGCGCTGTTTCATAATAAGATTAAAAGGTCTTACTTTATTCAGAGAGAGAGCGAGAAGCGCATATTAGGGTATTAATAATGAGAGGAAATCCTCAGCATAGCAACTTAAGTCGGCCACAAAAGCAAACATCCTCGAAAGAAGACGAAACTTTCAGCAGATTCAAATCCCTTTGCGCAAAAACAATGAGAGAGACAATCGGCACGCGGGGGCGCGAGCTACTCATCCGAGCGGAGAACTCACCTGAAAATAAAGGGGTGCTACCCCTTCTTCCTCTTCTTTTCGCTCTCTTAACGCGCCCATTAAATGAATGTGTGCAGGGAATTACGTGTAATGGGCTTAGCAATTGCAGGAATTAGTATTAATAGTATGCAAAAGATTCACCTTGTCTTTTCAAATCCCTCCTCTTATTATATGAAAGGGTTGATATAAAGCGATTTATCTTCTTATGTGCAAAAGTGAGTGAATTTAATTGGAAATTTTTCCTCCTTCGATTTTTATTTTGATAATCTTTCACGGAGGATGTTGTGAAATAAAAATATCTGGCTATTTTGCGGCCCATTAAAATCTCAGCCAGGAAACGGCATTGGCACGTGGCGGCAAGTTGCAGCCGGGGATTGTAGATAAATTTGAAATTTTATTTTACGGTAGGAAAAGTGTGCGATTTTTTCCATTGACGTCAATCTGCTGCGGATTTGCGTCAGCGCGCAAACTAACTATTATTTTGATAGGAAACTGGAGTGCAGAAATGAAAATATCGCGAATGACGAATTAAAAAATGATGCATACCTCATCAAGGGGACATCCCGAGGAGAGCAGCAGGTTGTGGGACTGCATCAGTAGCAAACGCAGAAGTTTGTCCTTGATGTCTAGAACGGCAGAATGGCGAGATCTGCAAAAGAAATTAAAAACAAAAATTTGATAAGTCCATTCCAATGCTTATAATTTTTCAATAAAAATAAAAGTGGCGGTTGCTAATTAAAAAAGTTAAACACATGGAAGAACTAGAAGATTGACTCACTTGACAATTTGGATGTGCAAAGTTGCGACGGTGGTGAGTTCGCCAAGGATGTCACCAACTGTGAGAAGCGGGCTGTCTGCGATTCGATCCAAACGCAGTGGCTTCCAGTTTTTTATAACAACAGACCCTGGTAGAGAAAATCAAAATAATAAATTTATATTAATAATTTATTGCGCCGATATTTTACTATCGCTTTTTCTTATTCTTATAAATATAAATTGTTTTTTGAATGTTTATTTATATTACAAGGATAATAAATATTAAAAAAAAAAATTAAAATCCAAATACCATTATATTTATAGGCAATTATAATGGTATACATAGAAAAATATCACAAGAAATTGATTTTTGTTTTATAAATTCATGCCAATTATTTTGTTCATAAGCTGTAGTTTTTATCATTCTAATACACAACAATGTAAGTATACCTGTGGCCAGGTGTGCACAATCCTGCGGGTAGCCAAGCCTGTACAAGGCCACGTGGACCAGCTCCTCAAACGGTGTGATTACGGGAATGATAGCGTAGCTGTCGGTTTCAACAACCACCCTGTTCCGCCTGGGATGTGGGCCTGCGTCTTCGGGAACCAACACCTCCACTATGCAGTGAACTGGTATCGATTTACCTGCAATCAAAACAAGCATTTTATTAAATATGGTTTTTTAATTAAAAAATAGTATTCTTTTATTATGGTGCATGACAAAGTAATCCAGATTTTTAATCATAATTCTCAATAATGAAAAAATTCATTAAAATTTACCCATTCAAATTATCTTAAATATCTTAATTATCTTAAATATATTGACTTTGGCCGACTAACATAAAACGTGTTTCTGTAGTTTTAAAGGCAATGTGCAGATCATATTAATCATTTAAATTTAAAATTCGTGAAAGTTCATAATTATTTAAAATATAAAAAGAAAATAAATGTTTAATGAAAACTAGCTAGCTAGGTGTTAACAATTATTATAATTATTTTGACTTCAACTTATACGGCACAAGGCGTGTCATTTACGCCACTTTTCCGTACGTTTTTGATAAAAATTACAACTCACGTCAGAGAAACAATTTTCCAGGCGCCTTTAGAGTGCAAGCACCCCGTGCCTTTATCTGCAGTTAATTATTCCCCTCGCCTTAAAACTTTATCTCTTCGCAACGAAACAAGGACACCTACGTCAAACGAAATCTGAGCGTTTCGTGGGACAGGAAACTTTTATACGAAATTGCCCCCCGATCTATACACGTGGCCGCGACTATGCTTTCGAGCACTGACGTACTTTGTTTATCTCCCCTGGGTTATAATTTTCCGATTTTTAGGAAGGGAAAACAACGCACAGGACGAAAGGTTTCCGCACTTGCCAGGAGGTCATTAGACATGTCAAACTTTTGATACGTAGCTGCTGGAATTTTATGTGTGTCCCTCAAAGTATATCAGAGTATGTTATCGCATTGACCAGACAAATGTTGAGGCGCGACCCAAATAATGTATTCAGTGGTTATGTAATTGTCGCACATGGGACATTAAATTTTTGATAAATTTAATTTCGTTTCACAATCTATACAATAATTATTTTAATTATATATTAAATTGAGACCAGATTAAATTTCAAAGATTTTTTATTTTAATTTTAGAAAATCATTACAATTCTGGATAGTTAACTTCAAATCACGCTGCGTATTAGTGCAATTAAATTGTGATGGATCTTAAATTCTTATTATCACATATATTTCAATTTTTGCGTTTTTCAGAATCAACTAAAGTTTCAGTGCCACAAAATTTACCCTCACAAAAATGATGAGTGTAAATTTTTTAACTTAATTTAAATAATAAGATAATTAAAAAAAATTTATCTGCTATCCTGTAAATTTTATAATTCTCACCGTAATTTTCAAATTTTGGTCATTACGGTTGTGCCAACTAGCTTTGAACCTTTCTTGTACTCGAGCGGTCAGATGGCGATTAAGAGAAGGGTTATTGGACGATCATTAAGCTCGGAACAATGGGCACAAAGACACACTCGGCCTAAGCTTGGTCATGTGTGGTCATAATAAGCATAGAGAGGATGTTGTGCGTGCGTAGATTACAATGCGTAAAGAAAGTGCCCCTTACGCCGACAGGGGTGTTTCTTTTGTTATTCCCTTATTGGTCCTATTAGGGATTTGCGAACGCACATACATTTCGGAGAGTATATGTGTTAATAATTTTTAATCACCAAATTAAATTTGGTGCGGGATAACCCTGGCGGGGCGTCGGCCGCGCGCCTGCAATAACGTGCTGGTCGGCGCGGCTTTTGTTGTGCGGGAATTAAGCCGGGGCGAGAGCAATTCAAAGCCCGGCGGCGCCAAATCTCACCGCCAGCGCAAGAACAATAAAATAAAGGACCCTTTGCTTATTTAAAAAGAGGCTCTCTCGCTCTCCTTACGCCAGTGGAGGACAAGGATTTGCATTTCATAAAGTCCTAGCTGCTGATGGGATTTTTAAGGGGTCTTAACTTGCTAAGCTAATGGGCCTTTCGCCGCACCTCGCCCTTCTGCAGCTCCTTTTTGGGCGGCAAATACATATATAACTCATTTGAATTATTCCGCAGCAAAGGTTTTAACCGCGGAACAAAGACATAAAACAGCAAAGCGAGAGCAATAAATCTCGCCAAAAGCTGGACTTTTGCAAAGAATCATAATTCTCAAGCAAATTTGTTATTCAGGAATTTTCAAAATTTTCAAGAAAAATATGCCATTGTGTTGAAAAGATCGGTACTGTCAGAAGTAAAGAAAAATTGTTATTATTTTAATAAATTTTAATTTTTATTAAAAATTTAATTTTAAATATAGTAGTTTTTATTGAAGAGACTATAAAAAATTATTTTACTAAATGTAATTTAACATTATTTGGTATATATTTTTATATTAATTTTTTAAATCTTTTAATTAACATTTAACATAATATTTACCAATTAAAGTTTATTTTTCATATTTTTTTTATATACATAAAATAACATTATTGTAAAATTTATTGTGTTCTTAAAATTGAATTATTGCTGAGTTTCTCTTTCATTCGCACGTCAGCTTTGCATTTTTACAAATAACATTTTCTCAACCCTCTTATCTCTCGAGCCAAATTTAAAAATAAACAAAAATCCTCAAAAATATTTGAATAAAATGCATGTAACAACTCGTCAGCGGAATGCTGCATAAGTTTATAATCTGATATTTATTTTGTTTTTATTTGCAACACCGGCGGTAAGATTGCATTTTATATGATATTCTTCCAAGAATTTCACGCGTGCATCTGCAAGTAGCATGATGTACTATCAAATGTGCGAGCTGCAGTGGTGTAACAAAATAAAAGAGAGAGAAAGAGAGATGCACCGGTATAAGCTGCGGCAGTTTATCTCTCGCTGGTGCGGGGAGAGCTGCAGAGAGAGACAATAATAATATGCGATGTGAAAGACGAGCGAGATTCGCTCTCTTCATTCTCAGCGCATCTCAAGGCAGCACCAACTGTTTCCGCTGTGCGTCTTTCCAGTAACAAGAAGCTGCCTCCGCAACAAAAGCACACAAACAGCACTGACAACAAACCCTTTACATCCTCTCTCGCTCCTTATCATTTCATCAGCACAGAATTTGGTTCGCGACTACCAGATTATGCACACGCACATATTGTAACACGTTGCTTAGCGCGGCCCACGGAGGCGCGTAATTGAAAGTGTCAACCGCGCGCGTGATTGCTCCAGTATTAAATCGTGGCGTGAAATAATTTGCTAGGCGAGCAGTTAATTTCCTGATGCGACTGACAATATCTCTGCATTCAAATTTAATAATTGAAAAAATCTGTGATAAAAAAAAATAATATTTTGTTTGCTGAATTTTTTATTAAAAATGAATGCTTTTGTCCATTTTAAATTAATAATATGAAATGCAACTCTTCTTGATATGAATTGGCAAATGATTAATATAATAATATGAAGTTAAAAATCATCAGACAGAAATTTAAATTTAATTTGTGCAACAATGAACTAAAATGAATTCTAGAAAATTCCTATACTTTTGTAACCATTTGATAAACACGTTAATGCTTTACGGGAATAACGAGCAAAAATGTTGCTGCTTCCGAGGTGAGGCGAACAGCTTTAAGTTTGTAATTCGCTTCGAGCAGCAGGCCGTCGCCGGTGTATGTGGATATTAGCGTGGTGCGCGGTGGCGGCGCAATCCCTATTAGGTTAATCCCAGATAATGTGATTAGCTAGCTATTTGCGTTCATTTATTATTCGCGGTCAAGTCGGACGCAGCTAGCACGGGGTTGGGCTCCGTATGTACAAGTGAAGGTTGTGCGGGTTGCAGGTCGGCAGGCGAGGTGTAAGTAAGATCTTGTTAGGCGTTAAGCGCGCAGAGTGGACGCGGCTACCGGCCTCAAACTATATACATGCAATGTGTGTGAGTTTGGATGTGAGGCTTCGAATGCCATCATGACACCACCAAAGGACATAAGACAAGTATAACAACATGTTTATTAACACCAGAAGAAGAAAATTAATTATTTTGGAGAATCATGAAGCCAACAATTTTATTAAAAACAACATGAAAAATCTTTAGTTCTTAATATTGAAATAAGTGGACCAAAAATGTTATGAAAAAATTTAATTTTTTATTCTCTTAAAACCAAGATTTGTGATAAATATTTTAATAATTTACAGCAATTGACATGAAATTATAAGATATTATATGCCTAATTGGCAAATATATATTTATTTGAAATTTTATTCTTACTATTAAATATTTTAATCATTTGATTATTATGGTTTTTGCATTTGATATTTTTTATTTTACAATTTTATTATTTAATGATGTTTATAAAATTTGGTCACGCATCAAGGTTTTTTTGATGAAAATACAACTTTTCAATCCATTGGAGATTCAGATATTATTTGTTATAAAAAAAAATGTGCAGTGATTTAATTATAATAAAACAACAAAAAATCTTGAATGAGAATTTATTGCTTGCCTTTTTAAAGTTAATGCATAAGACAAAGATGTAAGTCCTGATTTCTAATTCTCAGAAATAAGTTAATTTCTTAATTATTTCAACCATTGTGCGTTAATGAAATTCCAAAAAATTATCTTAGCGAAGGATCAGCAAAAGAAATCCTTAAATAATTTGCAAATATTGGCGCAGAAAGCAGAAATTTATGTGAGATTTTCCACGCATTCACATACTAAATACAAAAATTTCGCCACCCGTACACAAAAACTAATTGAAAAAATAGGGGGAAACGGTGAAGGCGATTTCCATAAATTATCACTCGCGAGGTGCGTACAAGATTGGGTATCGTGTAATAATTCCGGCCGCGGGCGATAAGGCGGGCATCTTATTAATTTATAGTGATGGGAATGCAGCAGCGAGATCGTAACTCACTCATGCGCTTTGTTTGTCCGCGCGTTTTCCCTGGAAGATGAGCGATAATGAAAAGAGTGCTTTCAGTGACAATAATCTCTCTCTCTTCGCGAGGAAAAAGCAGCTTTTTCAAGAAAATTTTTTCATATATTGTATTGTTCCGCCGGAATAATCGCCATAAAATTGCGACCATTTCCAACTAAAGCGCCGCAGGCAGCGGCTGCAGATCATCACCG